TATTAAAACTAATTATGGTGCCCTAAACACCCCCTTCCGGGTAAACATTTATAAATAACAAAATTTATTATAAAAAACCCCATTCCACAACCCCCCCCCCCCCCCCCCCCCTATTTAAGCCACTCCCTCGAGCGACTAATTCATACCCAGAGCTTATGAAACTTAGAGCTCCATCCCTAACAATCCCACCGCAGATAATTCCCATTCACTATGCTTTAGCCAGCTTCAAATGCTTATACACAGCCGCCTCGATCTGGAACCACAGCCCAAGGACCGCCGGGTCAAAAGCCGGCAGAATCTGCGTGCACACCATGCCAGCGACATTGTGCTCGCGGTCCGCCCACCAGTACAGATTCGGCAGCCCGGCCCAAAACGCAGTCTTGGCCGACCTGCCCGTCGCCGGGCCGGCGCCGCTCAGCATGAACGTCAAGCCCCAGCCCTGCGGCGCGTTTCCGGGAACGGGGTACAAGTCCCCGGTCGCGTTCGTCAGATGCGGCTTCGCTGCTGCGATGCCCTGCCGCCCGAAGTCGGGGAACTCCGGGATCTGGTTCGTGAACATCTGCTCTACGGTGGATTTCTCGAGGATCTTGACGCCGGTCTTGGGGCAGGTGCCGTCGTTGAGGAGGACTGCTAGGACGCCTGTGGGGCGGGTTAGTTCCTGGTTTGCGGGATTACGTGGTTCGAAGATTGGGTTGGGGGTTGGGGCTTACGGGTGTATTCCTGGGGCTTGGCGAAGAGACCGGCTCCGCCGCTGTTGAACGTGTCGGCGATCTCTTCGGGAGTTGAGACGATTAGGGGTCGCCGGAGTAGGTGGTCTCGAGGAATGAGCTTGCCGTCGTGCAGCCTTTGGTGCATATGAGCTAGGTTGTCTTTCATCGATTGCGTCGGTATCATGGTAAGGTTCCCCAGACCAAGTGGCTGGCAGATGTTCTTTTGAATGTACTCATTCAGGGTCAACCCAGTCTTCCTTTGTAGGACGATTCCAGCCCAGTCGATACCAATCTATTGAGGTCAGTTTTCGTTCTTTTATTGGAATTGGTTATTTAGTCCGGTATTATAAGGTACTTACTCCGTATCCCCATTTCTCGCCCGGTTGAAATCGCAGCGGGATCTTCAGCATATCCTTAATATCGCCAGAGAACTCGTCAATGCCGATAGGAAGACTCCAATCCCTCAACGTCTCGTTGAAGAACGTGTATGAAAAACCCGAGGTATGAGTTAACAGCATTTTTAGGGTAATCCCTCTTTTCTTCTCTTCGAAAGTTCCATCGTCCTTGAGAACTTTGATATCTTTTAGTTCTGGACATAGCTCCTCGACTTGCGCCGCGTCGTCTAGTTTCAGCTCCCCCTTTTCGACAAGTTGCATACAGGCAAGCCCTGCAATTAGTTTGGTGCAGCTCGCTAGGTAGAATACGTTGTCCAGCGTCATGGCTTCATTGGATATAATGCCTCGTTTGCCAGCCGAGTGGGCAAATAGTTCGTTCCCGTCTCGGTCTACAACAACAGCGACTGTCCCGGGAACGCTAGACGCAGTTGATTCGCCGCCACTGACAAGACTCTGCTCTATGATAGAGCGGAGTTCGCTAATTGCTTCCTCTGAGAAACCCATTGTTTCTTATTGGTATATTGATCCTATGGTTTATTCAGGTTTGGCGTGTTAGCTGTCCAATCTCTTCTTTGCTTCAACTAAAGCTTGAAATATATTGTTTTCAACTAAGCTCGATATAAGAAAGATGAGGAGGGTAATATATACCTAGGTATCTACCTAGGTAGGTAGGTATGTATAGATATCGAACACCACATCGTAACGCCGAACAGCCAAAGGCCGAGGTCGAGCCATTGCAATGCATAGTGATAACTCGTTACTCCCCCTCTCTATGATATAAGCGTGGAGTGGTATGCATACTATGGTTACAGGCCAAAGTTTAACGAGTGGGTCAGGTACCTGTGGCTGTATCCGGGACAAGCAGATATATCGAAAAACTTATATCAAATATTACCATTTTTCAACCAAATTAATAGATTTTTTAATAAAAAAAAAAATCAAAATAATCTTTAAATAACCTAAAATCTAAATATTTTATCGCATTAAATTTATTAAACCAAATGCAAAATTTATACAATTATGTTTATATAAGGTCGCGCTATACTATAATAGGTGCAGTACAAGCCGCAATACCTGGCCCACTCCTTAAACATACCCATATAACAATAGTAGATGAGGCGTCGTAGAATGAGGAGTGTCCAATTACGCATCTGTTCGTCCTCATCTAGGCTAATAGTTTGGGGTATGCCAATTTCTACCCTGGGAAGTGAGGGGATGAAGGTTACATTCGAATTGTCACGGGTATACCGGACTAGCACCTGAGGTGCTTCAAAGCTATGTATTAAGTTCTCAATAATGTTATGACAACTCATTATTCCTACTTTCTGCTCACAAGGCAGATTAACTTTTCCATTGGTCATTTCTTCTGGGACGGTGCTACCCTGTTCGCTAATCACCATGTTCTCCTAACGCCTCCGAGCACCAACCTACATGCCTTGCCAATTATGACGATTCCTATTACGACCAAATCATCCTGCGAACCTTTACAAGATGACACTATCCGCCTGTTCTAACCACAGGTTTGCTAGGTCTCTTGTTAAACCCAGTCTGATCTGTTTAAGTACATCTCCAGAGCTGCTAGCCGAGAATATCCCCGCTCTCCAATCCCAGGCCCGCTTGACAGGGCCCTTAATGACACCGCTTTTCATTACAGACTGATGAAGCTGGGATGCTATCATCGAACTGCCAGTCATCATAAAACTACCACCCAAGGAAGAAGTAGACTGCTTGAGAAGGTCTGCAGGTGTAGACCCTTTTCCATGTCCCGATGCGAGGACCAGTTTAAAAAACTCATCCGCAGCATCGTAGACCCGGGATCCAACGGTTTGAATGTCTTCAACCGCTTTAAGAAGTGTATCGATTTGATCAAGAGTAATCACGGGTGATGGTTGGCCCACGAAGACGGATGCTTCTCCAAGTAGTGCTAACAAGAAATCTTCGCTGACAACCGCGTCGCGTGAGTCATCGTACAAGCCTCCTCGAATGTTGTCATCAGCGCTAGCAATGACAGCTACCAGGGCAGTGGCGGCTTGTTGGCGACGCACCAAGGATTTGGGGTTTGTTTTGCTGTCTCCATCACGAAGCTCGTAGAACTTCCTGAGCGTAGCATACCCGCTGAGCATCTTACCAAGAAGTTCTGCCGCTTCGAGATCCTGCTTCGCAAGTTTCTCTAAAGTTGCCGTGCGCTCCTTTAGTAGCTGTTTCAAAGTACTGTCCAGCTCGCTCTCCGGCGGATATGTTGTAGATTCCACCAGTGAAATGGACATTAGTGTATTCAGGACATCGCGAACTTTGCCAGGCCGGTGGGCCAAGGAGTAATACCATAGAGCTTCTCCAAAGCGGAAGGTATCTTTTGCTAAGATATCTCCGAAAGTCTAGCATGCGTTAGTATAATGTTGTCGTTAGTGTATCAGCGTGTGCATACCTCAGCTGTGTCTTCTGCAAAGTTGATCATTCCAAGTTCGTTCAGCAGCCGCCATATCTTGTCGACAGTCTCGCGAGAAAACTCGTCGATGGTACTAAGAACACTCTGGAGCAATTCCTGTACTAACTGCTCAGACCGCTCGGGAGAGTCCATTCGGCCAACGACCTGGACTCCCATTTCCCATCCATCCCGTGAGGCCTTACCATGCAGACCAGTGCCCGCTATATACTTGCGATCTTTCAGGCTGCGGGCATAGTGAACTAAAGTGGTATCTTTGATTCCGTCTTTCTCGTCGGGCCCTGTGCTCTGATTCATTCCTAAAACCTCCAATTCTTCCATGTCAAAATCTTGCATGTTAATAAGATTTTGTGGTTCTTGAGGAGGGAGCCATCGGCCTAACGAGGCAATTTCGGCTACCGTCGACGCGATTGGGAGTGACCATAATCTCAAGAATCCGATAACCCCTTCAACGTTGCTCTCAAACGCAGAAGCAACTGCTACTTCAACAGGGTCAGCGGAATTGAAGTGGAAATCAGCCTCCGTAGCAGTTTGAAGGGAAAGAGCAAGACGATCAAGGAAATCGTCACCCGCCTCGGATTGGCTAGGCAATTGAAGTGATCTTGAATGAGATAGGCCAAGATTCCGCTTGTTGTGGCTATTATCCCACCATCCGAATAAACCAATCGTAGCCTCGCACCAGTCTTCCGCGGCCGCAAGGATAGCGTCCGGTTCTCCGATGAGAATCGCATAAAGGGACTGAAGATTTTCATAGATATCCCAAGGGATCCTGCTTTCTGCCCTTCGAGCAAGCCCTGAGAGTGATTGTCGTCCATCCACAGAATCGGCAAAATCGGATTCTCCAAATCGGCTCGAGGAAAGAGCTCGTTCTTTGCCTTCAGTGAACCCAATGAGTGCTTCTTTAGCTGCCTTAGCCTTTAGACGGAACAAAGTCCAGTCACTACTTTGGATATCCCAACTATCATTGCTCATCGCAGGGCATATTTCCATGACTAGGCATAGATCCTCGACAACACGTTTGATATTCGATAAGACTTGGCCACTATAGACTGCTTCGCCGCGAGGGGATTTCTTAGGAGATTCCCAGCCGGCCTTTCTGAGAAGTTGCACTACCCCAGATATGTCACCACGTACGAGAGCATTAAAAACGACTTGCCAGAAAAGCCCATGGGCCGCGGGTGAAGGGCGATGTTGTAGGACGTTATTTACTTGATCCGGGTCGAAATTGTGTGCTGCACGTTGCCAGTCGAAAAGAACAGCGGGCAAGGCTATATTTTTGATATCTCCAAAATCGTCTCTCCTTGCTGGTGTATGATGAATTTGAAGAACCAGTACAGCTAGGTAGAAGGCTTTCTCGAAATTCGGGGCGTAGGGACTCGGCCCTACCCTAGCCGCGTGTTCATCGTCGATTTTGGGGAGCTCTTCTACGTGAGGGGCCCATATCTCATTAACCAGTTTAACACAGGCTTGAGCTAAGGTATCGTCCAGTCTCTCCTCGTCGTCTTCAGGACCCACGCCTTCATCATAGAGACGATTTACGAGCTCTTCAGTTTGTATGATGACGTTGTCCGGCTCGGACACATCTGCAAATGGGGATTGGCTATAGAGATCCTTCGCAAGGGCCGCATACTTTAACTCCCGCTTTCGGGCGTTAATAGAGCGCATGGAAGAAGCGCGAAAGATGTCTTCGGCTTCCTTGCTGATACGTTCGTCTGCAGCGGCTGTTGTGAGCATCATCAGGTCCGCATCGCCATCAGATAGTAGATCGCCATACGGCCCAGTGCCGGCTATTTCCCTCAGCAGGTCCTCTTCCACATCATATTCATCTTCTCCTTCCTCCATAGCGTCTGCTTCCGAACCCTCATCATCCTCTAGGGGATCCGTATTATCAGGCTCGGTATCTTCGCCTTCAGTCGAATCGTCAAGTAACATGCCGTAAGTCCTCCCTCCTATTTTCCCTCGTTTGTTTTCCTCTTCATCATCATCATCCTCCTCCTCCTCCACTCTCTCCCCGTGATATTCTCTGCTCAAGCCAGACGGCTGCCTTGAAGTAGAACCCTGAATTGATCTTCCTAGGGGCGCATTGCTATGTTTTCTAGAGTGCGACTTGGATTGGGAAGGATTTGGCCTTCCAAAATTTGGGGCCTTGATCTTGCTTGACGTGCTTGAGGCGCCTGACATGGCCCCAATGGAACTCTGTAAGAATGAGGGAGACGGCTCGCCGGCAGGGGTAAATGATGCGGTAGATGAAGGTGGAGGAGGACCGATGGGAGTCGTTGATGGATGGTCTGCAGAGAAGCCGAAGCCAGACGAAGCTTTTCGAGAGCCTCTTTCCGGCGTAGAGGGCGACGAGTTCAAGCCTGCAAATCGGAACGCCATCTTGACGGATGTGAAGCTCGACAGCTACTTCGAAATGCCTTTAGAATAGCACCATAAACAAAGATTAACTCTAGCGAAGATACCCCATGAGGCTATCAGCGCTATAGGGTCGTGAATTGGATTGAAAATACTTATTAATGGCGTGTTGGGTGTTGTTGCTCGGAGCTATGAAAGCTGGTATGAAAGAACGTGAGCCAAACAAAAATTTACGGTCGCGACGCTGAAGCTTCAAGGACGCGGTGCTTAGCGCATACAAACTTCACAAGCAGGAGCTGTCCCTGTCCGCTGTTACCTAAGCACAGACCATATATCATGTACCTTGTACCTACCTATGTACCTCTTAGGAATGGATGCCCTTTAGGTGTACAGTGCGTAAATCATTTATCACTGTACAATTGGTACTCGCTACGTCCTCCGGGTTCTCGTCTGAGATATTGGTATAAAATGGCACTTCTCCATGCCATCCATTCCTATCTTCATCTGCGCTGCATTCTATCAGCCTTGTTGATATTGAATTTTACAGCATAAAAGTTACTCCAAACTAGAAAGGACTAGAAAAGGATACCATTACGTACATCCATATTCAATATCTGACTTATCATATACAATACAATAGCCAACCGGATATTACAGCAATACACCGCACACCTTGCTACATTTTGATGAGATAGGCGCGCAACATGCCAAACGATTGACTCATTTATCTTCACCAGGATATGGTGCAAGAACGAGCTAACGTCTTTCTACAAGGCTATGATGTACATGCCGAGTTTTGTCCATAATTCCCCCGTTTCCCGTCTTCTTAACATGCCGGTTGACGATATCGCATATCGCATAATCTCTAGGCGGAGTGAGTTGGAGCATATCGGGAATGGATGTGTCGGGAATGCAGGTGTGCAGCGTCAGGAGTCGGTATTAATGCGATACTAATAGACTCATACTACCTAATGGTATTAGCAGTCATGATGATCGCAGGAGTGACATCAAGATGCAAGGTAACAGGCTAACCTAAAGTTTTTTATCTTTCCCTCTCCCTTTATCTCATCTCGTATGCCTAGGTGTGTAATATCCGCTCGCCGGGGCCTAGTCTCACTCTCTCCTCACTGCCGTGCCGACTCCCCCACCTGAAGAATAACCAGTGGTGGGGTCAAAGAGGCTTCGAGCAGGAAAACTCCGCATCAAACAAGCAACCCAAGAAGTAGCTGAGCAATCCATTATAAAAGTTGATAGCTCAAGGGCTTTTCTTTTTCTTACAGATTCTTCAGAACTAAAAGATTCAATTACAACAATTCTTTGTTTTAACCAAATCTAACATCACTATGGCTGATACCGTTGGCAAGGTTCGTATCCTTCTCCCTTTCTCCCCTATATCCGTTCTATGTTCTTATGAGCGCGTCCCCTTTACCCCGCGCATACGCGTAATATATCACCAAACTGCTATATACATGTTGTATAGCATGCTTTATTGTCTATGTGATCCATTGTCAGCAGAGATCTAAAGCTGACTGTCTCCTTCTACACGATAGACCATCAAGTGTAAGGCCGCCGTCGCCTGGGAAGCTGGCAAACCCCTCAGTATCGAGGAGATCGAAGTTGCGCCGCCCCAAGCCCACGAAGTCCGAATTCAGATCGTCTACACGGGAGTTTGTCATACAGGTATACCTTGCCAAGTCTTAATCCCGAATCAAGTCCGAATGTCCCGTTAAACAGTGGAGCAGATGCCTACACGTTATCCGGCAAGGACCCAGAAGGCGCATTCCCTATCGTTTTGGGACATGAGGGAGCCGGTATTGTCGAATCTGTTGGCGAGGGCGTCACCAACGTAAAACCGGGTGACCACGTTGTCGCACTATAGTAGGCTTAACCCTACCTTCCTTACGTCCGCCATCTCTTAGGCTAATATCGATCAAAAGCACTCCCGAATGTAAGGAATGCAAGTTCTGCAAGTCTGGCAAGACGAATCTTTGCGGCAAGATTCGGGCGACCCAGGGCAGAGGTGTCCTTCCGGATGGCACCTCACGCTTCACCTGCAAGGGACAAAAACTTCTCCACTTCATGGGAACGTCGACTTTCTCTCAGTACACCGTCGTAGCCGACATCTCCGTCGTTGCTGTCCAGCAAGATGCTCCTATGGACCGAACTTGCCTGCTAGGCTGCGGTATCACTACCGGTTACGGTGCTGCGAGAATCACGGCCAACATTGAAGAGGGTTCTAACGTGGCGGTCTTCGGAGCCGGTTGCGTCGGTCTTTCGGTTGTCCAAGGCGCTGTTGCCCAGAAGGCGGGTAGAATTATCGTCGTTGATGTGAACCCAACCAAGGAAGAATGGGCCAAGAAGTTTGGAGCCACCGACTTTGTTAACCCTACTAAGTTGGAAGGACAAACGATCCAAGAAAAGCTCATCGAGATGACTGATGGTGGCTGCGACTACACTTTTGACTGTACTGGTAACGTCAGCGTGATGCGAGCAGCATTAGAAGCTTGCCATAAGGGTTGGGGTCAGAGTATCATCATCGGCGTCGCTGCCGCCGGCCAAGAGATCTCAACTCGACGTAAGTTCCAAATTTTTCTTACTAGAAGCTTCACCTAGAAACTGACACTATGAACAGCATTCCAGCTAGTCACCGGGCGTGTATGGAAAGGCTGCGCTTTTGGCGGTGTCAAGGGCCGATCTCAACTTCCCGGCCTCGTCAGCGATTATCTAGAAGGTAAGCTAAAGGTGGATGAGTTTATCACTCACCGCGAAGATTTAGACCACATTAACACCGCGTTTGAGTTAATGAAGGCGGGCGATTGCATTCGTTGCGTTGTGACCATGAAGGAATAAAAAATGACACGAGTCAATATCTTACCTATAGAACCGACTGGAATCTGATGAAAATGGGTCTGACGAGTCATGAAAAATAAGTCGCAAAGTGTATCCCTAGCTTTTAGTCTAAGCAGTTTATGAATATTGTCCTTTGATAGTGAACAATTTACTCTTTTTCGCTCGATCGACAATGAGGCGTATTTTCCAGCGCGTAAAAGGTCTCTCACCAGCTACCTTGAAGCCTTGCTAATATGCAAAAAGTCCCCAGCTTCCATGTCAAACATTATTGCAAGAGCCTCTCCTAGTGAGTCCGTAGTCCAAGGCGATTGTGGCATTACCAACTAGCCAACCCATGGTACTCTTTCATGAAACGGGCACTAACATGTAAATGGGCCACGAATATGCCATGCGCTTCTTGTCGACATTGGAAGGTCTCACACAAGAACAGTACTGTTCCATACGAATACTCTGTTTCAGGGAAATCGTTGGCGGACAACCGATAGCTCACAAATTCGGGAAGAGAATCAAAGAGACGAACACCAAAGAAGCCACTAGCCTAGTATATACGTATCTCGGATAGGTTTAGATAGGCGGTCTAGATCCTAGAGGCTACATAGGGCAGGTAAAAGAAGCCATCATATTCATGCATGGGGTCCAAGCCAAGTCAGGCATTTGATATTCATTGATGGAGAGCCCCTAAAGTACCATACCAATATGCACATACGTACGAAGTAGTATACATATGTAAAAGAGACCCCTGCGCCGTCATCATTCGAGACCCTGCTTGCATCGCAGTGTGGCTCCAATTCTCCGCAAATATCCACCACATGATCGATGGGTTCCCGCAGAAAGCGCCTAAGCTATAGAGATTATATATATAGGTAGGTACCTATACTATGGGGAACGAGAGTGTAGATATGTTAGGTACATATAAAATACGCGGAAACGAATTCATTCATTCAATCGTTAGCTCGATATCGATGTGTAGGCGTCTTGGTGGCCAATTTGTCTTACACCTTGGCCGGACCGGTTGGGTGATCTAGATCGGCATCATACATATACGGACGTAGTGTACACGAGGTGTGTAGGAGTTAGTCAGTTCAGTCCAGTCAGCTAGTCAATCAGTCAATCAGCATACAGCATAATATATACCTTAGGTAGATTAGGTAGGTCATTTCGACGTCTGTGTGGCGCGGAACACTTTATGATGATTACTATTTAGTTTCACCACAGACGATAACGGTAGTCCGTAGCACGAAATCTAGCCTCGCGAGTTCGTATTTAGCTAGTAACATAGAGGTTAGGTCCGGAGGCGGTTATCAGTATCCCAGCCTCAACTCCCGCTAATACGACTGACTGACTGACTGACCGATTGTATGTATGTATGTATGTATGTACGAGTCGATAGAGTTCATTAACCAACGCCAGCGCCAACGTCGTTCGCGCTCCACTATGTAGGCGAGTCGTTGTCAACATCTCAACTTTTCGTGGTGCGCTCCCCGCGAGCAATCCGTCTGGCTGGCTGGCTAGGTTTCAGTTGCCAAGTTGATCAAGCGGGCATTGCATGTTCCACTCTGACACGACAACAACAACAACAACAACAACAACAACAACAACAACAACAACAACAACAACAACAACAACAACGAACAAACCCGACCACCACCCCGTGCCGAGTGAGGTATAACAAGATTAAAGTGAGAAAAAATAAATAATTTGTAGACGGGCGGACATGTGGCAGTCTGAGAGGCGAGGGGCCCTCGAGAAGCAAGCCCGGCGAATGGAAACTGGTTGCTTTAACTACCTACCTACCTAGTAAGCATTGCGGTGGAAGGGATGCATATTTATTTATCTATTTGCTCGTCTGATCACGTAGATGAAGAAGGTCTCAGTTAGGCGACGCCGTTCTTATCTTCCCTGTCATGTATATAGTATAGTATATAGTATGTAGTTTGTAGATGCAGTAGATCCGGAGGCGGCGTGCTACGCTAGATACATAGTTGCCCGATATCCGGCGGGTTTCTCGGTGGGTTTTATCGCCCGTATGGCGTGAGATACATATAGGGAAATCCGGCAGTGCTTGTTTTCTGTTTTCTGTTTTCTTTTTCATATCTATTTGTCCTCCTGTGGCTTGTATTAAAGGCACTTATTAATATGAATTCAATATCGGGTCATGGCCCAACGTGTGTCCACCAGAGTTTCGAACTTATTAGCTTATTAGTTGGGAAGGGTTAGGTAGTCATCACCACTCATGTACGTAGGAGTTGTCGTGGTCTGTCTTTTTTTTTACGCGGAATTCCCGAATTAAGGTACTTTGATGACTTGTCTGTGTAATCCGTAATCAAGATGGGGATGTATGCTTTCTCCATCTCCAAATGGGCGCCCCCCCGGTCCTTGTCGTCTCCTTGTCCTTGTCCGTAATTCTCCCCCCTCCTCCCCTGCTCCCCCCGGTATTTCGCTGATACGTGCATCCCTACATACGGCATATCCCACTTAGACTGTTAGATTTTATACCTAATCGGCTTGCCTCCCGTTTTCGGAGCCTTGCGCGGAATAGTCGTCATCAGAATTGATACCTGCAGACTTGCCCGCTAGTGACTGGAGTGACTGGAGTGACTGGAGTCCCTGGAGTCCCTGGTTCATTTGGCTTATGACTAGGCAAACTGACGATCACAAATCCAATCCGACAAGGAATCCGTTCGCCTCATCCTTTTCGTCTTTCCACCTCACTACCTCACTAGCTCATTCTAAACGGTTCCATTCTCGCCGCCACAAGTAAGGAGTCATTCACTTCTGTCAGAAGCAATTTCTTCCCTTGTTATCATCATCAACTTCGTCTTCCTCTCCTACATTTACATTCACTTCTATCTTTAACCTAATCACTCGGAAAATACCAACAGGGAACCTCCTTTGATAAGGTGCCAAGCTTTACGATCTGAGCCCGATTCTGTAAGTGATCCATCACGGCCCGAGGTTCATTCACCTGCAATACCTACACACAATACACACACAATACATACACACTACCTACCTAACCACACGTGTACATGCAAACCTATCCAATTCAGCCTCTATTTATTACTTAATTCCTCCTTTTCGCCTGGTCAAGGCGTCTTCTCCACCACATTTGCCATCATCCGAGTTCTTTTATTTAAAGAGGATCGCCTTTCTAACATTCGACCATTAGCCCGCTCTCGAGCCATTCTCCCTTGGTTCTCATTCCACCTATTCCCAACTCGGCAATCTGCTGATCAGTAATACCCAACAACAAAGACGACGAAATAATAAACTTTATCTTTTCCGTCTCGTGCCGGTTATAGACAAGCAGTCATCTTCATCCACCCCCCAACATCGTCGACCACAAACGACCAGAACAAGTAATTACCACCACCACCACCACCACCACCATCATCAACATCATCAACATGGCACCCCAGAAGCCCCGCTGCAACTTCAAGGAATGCAAGTCCGCCGCCCAGCGAATCGTCGGCGACTGCGGTTTCTGCGACGGACACTTCTGCGCGAAGCACCGGTTACTAGAGGATCATAAGTGCAGCGGATTAGAAGACGTAAGCATGAGCCCAACTCCCTCGGAATCCGGCGACAGCGACGACTGGGCCACAGAGTGGTGGCTGGTCGGGCTGGCCGAGTATCTCGGCGACTCTGGTCTTCTCGAGGAGGAATGCGGTGGTTCATGTCCCCCTTCAGGTTCACCTGTGCTAACTCTAGATGGCAAATGCAGTGCAAGAAAGAATCGCACGAGCGAAACGCGGCTCAGCTCGAGGCCGAGCGGACGCAGGTCATCCGGGGTGTATAAGGACCGGACCGCCCCTCCATCGTCTCGCGTGACAGCTAGACGACGACGCCGTCGTTCCCCTCCGGGAGTCCGACCGCGAGCCCGCGGCCCCGTCTTCGCTTCTACCAAACCCTATCTCCCTATCACGACACCCGTTAGCTGCACGCGATAAGAGACCGCCTGCGGTTGGGCTTGGTCTGCATCTATTTTACTACTCTTCTACGAGCATGGCGTCCGGGCATTGGCTTAGGGCAGTTTGTATTTCATTTAGGCCTGCGACGGCGCAGGCGGAACAAGTTGGACTCCTCGAGTTCATTTTCGAGTTTTCCAGGAGGAGTCGGCTTGTATGAATCCCACGAGTCTCCTACGACGGAGCCTATTCTCAGTTTTCGGCGATATTGTACATACATGATTAAGCAATTATGAGACTTTCTCCTATTTGGAGTTAAGACCTCCCTGATGAACATTTGATTTCCACCCATTAATTACATTTTCCCTGAATGCCTCGTGATATCCTACACTGTGATCGACCTGTACAATAACTCCACGTGCTATGCTTTATTTGATATCCGTTGCCGTTTTGGTATGGTGTTTCTTTGTTTCGGACTGGGCTCCGGGCTGCCTCCGGGCTGATCTACGGACATCGGTTCCTTCTCTTCATCTTTTACAGTCTCGTTTACAATGATGTCCTTTTCAAGTACTTCTTCCTCTTTTAACTCTTCAATTTTTACCACCGATCCATCATCTTCAAGCTTTTTGACTTGCGTGCTTTCTCGGATCTTCCTCCCTTCAACGACCTTCTTCCTCTCGGCGGCTTTGCACAGGCCGCGTAGACCCAAGTCGCAGTCGCCGCACCGCCTCCCAACAGGCAGACAAACAGTCTGTCCAAACCCAACGAGTAACCAGTTTATTTCACGCCAGCGATCGCGCGGTAACCAACTCTGCAGCGCAAGTCGCGTTTCCTCAGGGTTCTTAGTTGTATGCCATCCCCACATGTTTGTAATACGATGCACATGAACGTCGACGCCGATTCCCTCGGTACGATCCCATGCCGCTGACAGGCAGAGATATCCCATCTTGGGGCCGACGCCCGGTAGCGCAACTAGGCCCTCAATCGTATTTGGGATATCGCCACCCCACTGATCGCGTAGGATCGGCGCGGCCTGTTTTATATACTTGGTCTTGTTGTTGTGGAAGCCGACAGCCCAGATCAACTTGTTGATCAGATCCGGGTCCGCTGCAAGTACGTTTTCGAGATTAAGGCCTGGAGGAGCACCGGGAACATGCGGGGGAAGCTCGGTCTGCAATCGCTTCATTGCGACAGCGTTGGTTGTGTCCTTAGTCTGCGATGACAACATAAGAGCGATTAAGGTCTGGAAACGTTGGTCGCGTGGGCTCATTGTAGTATCCGCGAGTCGCTCACAGCCCATCGTATCGACGGCCGCATTGGCCGCTACGCCGCCCGGGGATCGCATCGCCTTGACAGCATCGTATATTTCTTCCCAATCTGAAGGCGCGCTGACTGTTGCCTCTCCGGTATCCGCGTTGACAGTTTTTCGAGCTGGCTTTCGCTGACGTCTACTTGCTGGGGGTGCTATCACCTTTATCTCGATTTCTTCTTCCTTCTTAACCGTGCGTCGCGGCGAAGTCGACGAGGCTTCGAGGAGAGTAGTGGTCCGCTTCCGCTTCCGGATAGCCGCTGTATTCGGGACTATATCTTCGATGTCCGCAGGGGGAAGAGTCGAGTTCTCCTTGCTACTGGGGCCGTCATCGCCATACCTAAAGCGCGCGAGTGAAGATCTCGTAATCCGTCGCGGTGGCGATACTATCGGCCGAGGAGGCATCGAGTTGGAAATATAGGGGAAGTATCTTGACACACTCGATAAATTCCCATGCCGTTAGATGCTAGCCTTGCGCTTTGAGCGAGAACTATACCGCAGCCTTCAATCTACGTATTAGGTGGGTCTTATAATGCTGCGTAATTGCATTCACCATATTGATGCATCAGGGTGTTGCAGTTCCGGCTCGCAGGCTGGTCCCTGCATTTTCAGCTTAATACTAGCCCATATCAGGCAAGGGTTGGACCCATATAAGCTTAAGTGCCCCGCTGCCCCTCCGTTGCGCAATAGCGATTATCTCGTCTCAACATTAAGTCATTAAACCCTCTTTATGATCGTAAAACTTGAAATTTAATTATGGATATACTCTACGTTACCTGACACTTGTAAACAAAGCATTCTCACTTATCTCTTGCAGCAAGTGAGTCAGTTCCATCACTAAAGTCTATTAGCATTATGGCAACTTTCCTAGCCCGAAGCGCACTCCGCGCAGTTTCGCAAACCCCGCGTCTAGCTTTCCCTAAAGCTACGACATCTCCAATCGCCCTGAAGTCCTGGGTTCAACGACCAGTCTCACGCCGTTTCTTGGCCTCATCAACCATACCGTCGGAGCAGCCTCGTCTACGGCTCGGCAGCGAGGCACCTAACTTCCAAGCCAAGACAACACATGGAGACATTGACTTTCACCAATGGCTCGGTGGTTCTTGGGCCATCCTATTTTCACATCCAGCCGATTTCACACCTGTATGTACGACTGAGCTCGGCGCGTTCGCCCGGCTCGCCCCCGAGTTTGAACGCCGCGGTGTTAAAATGATCGGTCTAAGCGCCAACGACTTGTCATCGCACGAGCGCTGGATCGCCGACATCAATGAGGTGTCCTCCACAAACCTTCAGTTTCCTATTATCGCTGATGCTGACCGCCGCGTTGCATTCCTGTACGATATGGTAGACGCTCAGGACCTAAGCAATATCGACGAGAAGGGCATCGCCTTCACGATTCGCTCCGTGTTTGTCATTGACCCTCAGAAGAAGATTAGACTTACTATGATGTACCCCGCTAGCACGGGTCGTAACACCGCTGAAGTCCTACGCGTCATTGACTCGCTGCAGACTGGCGACAAGAAGGGTGTCACGACACCTGTTGACTGGCATCTTGAGGACGACGTCATCGTACCACCTAGCGTGAGCACCGAGGATGCCAAGAAGAAGTTTGGTAATGTGAGGGAGGTCAAGCCGTATTTGAGATACACTAAGATCTGAGTAGGGGGAAGATTACCTAGCATATTTGCACTAGTGTCTCGCTCGGTCGGTATTCGCACCTACGACTCAAAACAATTCGATGGAAATAATTCTGGACGCAAGGCATATAAACCCTCTATGGGGTATACCTTGAGGGCTAGTCTCTAAAAACCTAGTTGTTTGGTGATATGTATCTCGGCACACTCTAACGGAGGTGTTGGGAAACACACCGAAACGATAATTAAGTCTTCATTAGCTGAAAGGCTAAGTTGAGAATTCTATATAGTTAATCTACATATTTAAGAAAATCGACGTAACTTAATTTTTAATTTCACAAACGCTTCATGTATATCCGCCCAAAAGCCTATTACAACACAATATGCACTCGCAACTCCACCATTGAACGCCTTATGTTGGTATAATCCAGCAGTCTAGGTACTTGAACAAATCATGAGCTACGAATTAGATCAGGAACTCCCCACTAAGCCAGTGTCGAAGTACAACAAGACCTTCCTTAAATCGAGGTGTGTCGGATCGGACGATAATAGCAGCATGACTATGTCGGTCTTGATGAATCCAAACAGGATATTTGCGCCAGCCAACCTTGTCTAGCTCATCGATCATCAAAAACTGAGAAGGTGCTAGAGCTAAAGTTGGGAACTGCGGGTGTGATTTCTTCCGTTCTAAGGCTATGATCTGTGTCTCAGCCTTATTCAACTGACCATCGTCGCGCTCGTCGTCTGATGCTCGTAGGTACGACTCTCCTTGCAAGTTATTAAGGCTTTCATAGACACCTTCCACAGTACCACGGAGGTCCTTGATCCAAATTGGACTTCGGTAGTCCTTAACCTGAATACCTGCGAGCCCCGATTCGTGTAATCGAATGCGCTTCGAGCTACGGAACGTTTGCACGATCGAGTTGACTATCAACGCAACAATGCCAACTGGGAGAAAAACAACTAGCGCAGATATAAACAGCATCCTCCGTAGATTACTTGGGTTGCCCGCAGTAATGTCGGCCATCGCTTTACCGGCACTCTTAGAAACTAGAGGCGCGACTGGATTTAGAGGGTCTAGAATAATGTCTTCGTAGCCCTTAACAAAATTGGCCTTGACTTTACTCAGGTCCGTATAAGGGTCCGTCTTAGCTATGCAGGTAGTGTAATATACTGCGCTCCTATCGTTGACCACATTCGCATAGAGTGTTCGACGTTTAAATCTCTTTAATCCTGATATGAAGATCGACTCGGGATCGGCAAGCACCTCGAGCAATGGTCGGCCGGTGTCGCGGAAGTCATCGATTATGAACAATTGTCTTCCAGACATACATAGCATACGTGCGCCCAGGACGTTCCAAACGTTGTTAAGCCACCCCTTTAAGGGAGATCGAACACCAAGATGCGGCGACGCGAATGTTACGAAGTTCTAGGCATCATAAGTAAGTAAAAGCGAGATTCTAACGCGACTAGACGGATTGTGCGTACCACTGGTTCTACCTGACGAAACACGTCTCTCATCTCGAGTAGTCCAACGGCATAGCGAGCAACGAGGCCTCCCAAAGAATATCCAACAATACTGAGCTTTGTTATCTTGCCGCCCTTATTTTTAATCTTTTCTAGCTCTTCTTCAATCTCGAGACATACGCGCTCGCCTCCGAGTTCGATGCCATCGTACGTAAAGCTGCCGGCATTTCGTTCAGCGACTAGAATGTAGAGCTTGTCTTCGGGATAGGCGTCTCTCAGCGCCTTCGCGACCGATCTCATATGGTTCGGGTTGCCCCAGAGCTAGAAGGTTGGTAAAATTGTCAGTAATGACGTGCATGTATACAATGCACTTATTGAATTATATTGTATTGTACCACGTATGTAGTACGCAAGGGGATGGTGGCAGGGATCCGATGATACCGACATACCCCATGAACAAGCACGCAGAGGTGATCTGCCTCCAAACTACCACCGGTATATTCCATAATAAATGTATTTATTTATATATATTGTCCGAACATTCGTTTTGTGAAGCAACAGTGGACAAAGTTCTAAATTTTAAGGATCTAGTTGCAAAGTAACAAGTAATTAAACCAGGAAACGCCTTCGGTCAGATGAGATTGTCCGCGTGTCCTAAAAGAGCTATCGGTGGTCCTTGAATTCCGACTGCTAACCCGTCTCACCCGGACAATAGTACATAAGATAGTGGAATCTCGCAGGGCTTAGTGCTGGAACGTGTTGCTGTACCTACGTGTAGGATGACCAGGCTTCCCAAGGCTGACGTAAGGACTTCATTACGACTGATAACGTACCTTGCATAGAGGTGTACCTAATGATATATACGGTACCTAAGGCTCCTAGCTTAGAATTGGGAAATAATTTCCAACTTTTTGGGACTTGCAGGACAATAAAATCGGAATAGGACTGGTAACCTGTTATAGATACCTTATTTGATGCCAAACTTGTCTATGGAGAATATAGAAACAATTGTCTTTTCCAGCAGATGTTGGAGACGATAAAGTAACCTGTTATACATGTATTCCGTATTACATAATGCATTTATGAAGGTCTTCATTAAGGTCGCGAATAAAGTTTGATTGGCAGCAGTCGACCTTGCAACCTTACAACCTTACCTTACATAAGATGTCCCACTTTTCCTCAAAGGCAACGACGTTCTACTTTGTATTCCACTGTTCCACTCTGACTTGAATGTTCAAGTTCCAATTCTGATGAGAATCCGAAATACATCATTAGGTAGCATTCTACCTTCTAGATACGTAGAACTAAGAGATTTAGGACCGGTCATCCTAAATATCCTATTGGTAACGACGGAGATATTCATTTCCTAACCTGCTACACGCGTATTGGGTCTTGTTCTCCGGAGAGTTTCTCGCGTTTAACGTATCGATTATTTCGAGAAAGACTCGGATAGAACAGCTGCAAGTGACAACTTACAGGTGTTGATTCCCCGTCTCAACCATATCGGGAATCGCTACTTTTGCTTTCATCCTTGACTCATCGACTTTATTGTCCTATTTCACCATCTCACCACCTCATCCTTTGATCTGTCCATCCGCCACCTCGTCGTGTAGAATCCTGACGTGTTTTCATAATGGCTGGCTCTCTCGCGGCGCTTAAGAACTTACCTTGCCCGGCAGGGGATGATTGTAATGCTTTTCAGTGCCTTTTTAAGCATACCAAAGATGCCAATATAGCTGCCACTGTCAAAAGCCCGGAACAGTCGCCCGTCCATGCAATCGCTACACCATCTTCGGATCAAGTCTTGCCGAGAAAAAGAATTAAATTGGACTCAACATCGTCATCATCGTCACATCTAGAACCAAAAGAGCGGCCACCTACAGCATCCGGGAAACCTGCGTCAGCGCAGTCTCAGATTAAGAAACCCCAAGGGGCCGTGTCTCTTCAAAACGAACCGGTAGTTGGTAAAATGCCCAAACCTCTGCTTACTGCAGACCGGAAGCGCCATATATCAGCTGGAGAAGCCAGCCAGATCGATAGTAGACAAGACGAGGGCTTGGTTGGTAGCTATTCTTCTAAGGCTCAAGGATTAAAGAGTTCATCAAACTCTACACACGCGCACAACACCCTAACACCTTCCTCTACTGGGAAATCATCCAAGCCAGTACCTAAAGCAACCCCTAAGAAACTAGAAGCACTAAATCCCCGCCTCCTCAAGTCATCACCAGCTAAGCACGACACCCGCTTGAAACTCGTTAAGGCCCTGCATGAACAATACGTCCGCTTGAACACTGGGTTGAAGAAGGATACCGACAAAGGAGCATCGAAGCTGGTTCTTTCCGACCAGGAACTAATTGTGAAGACGCTTGATGACGAGCAAGAGATAGCAATCAAGCGGTTCCAGATATATGCCAACGCCATTAGGAACAAAATTATGGCATATAAGCGCATGACCGTTGTCCAATGGAAGGAGGAAAGGTTGTTAGCTACCAAAGATGATAACGCACAGAACGAAGGGGATGCACCAGCTGCGCCTGAACCCATCGTTACTGGGTTAACACCGTCTCAGGAGGTTGATTTCTTGCATAGATTGGTCTGGCCTCTTGGTGGTCTCGAGAAGTATGGGTATGTGGCTTCCATCCCGTCAGCCGAGGACATCGAAAAAGCCAAAGAGAGCGTTGAGGCTTCCGGTAACGTGGAGGTGTGCGACAGATGCACACGACGGTTTCAGGTCTTTCCTGGTCGTAGGGGAGAAGACGGAGCTTTGACATCTAATGGTTCTTGCACATATCATCCGGGTAAGATTTATTATACGGAGCGAGGAGCTGGCAAGTTAGCGAAAAGCCAGAAGAAATATCGTTGTTGCCACCAAAATGTCGATGATGACTCGGGAGGATGTACTACAGCACCTACTCACGTCTTCAAGACGACAAATCCTAACCGGCTTGCGAGTCTGCTCAACTTTGCTGAGACCCCTCCTAATCCGAATATCTCTGCGGATAGGGCCGTGTGCTTCGACTGCGAGATGGGCTATACCGTTTATGGGCTTGAGCTCATCCGACTGACGGCAGTGTCTTGGCCTAGCTACGAGTTGTTGCTAGATATCCTTGTTCAGCCATTCGGCGAAGTTTTGGATCTGAATACTCGTTATTCTGGCGTGACTCCCGAGGATATGGTTTCTGCCGAACGATGGTCTCCAGGAGACGATCATAAACCAGATTCCACTACCTCTGAGCACAAGCCAAAACTCAAACTGGTGCCATCCCCTAAGGCGGCACGAGACCTCCTATTTTCGCTCATCTCTCCCGAGACCCCTCTCGTAGGACATGGTCTCGAGAACGATTTGAATGCCTCCCGAATTATCCATCATACCTGCGTTGACTCAGTCCTACTATTTCCACATAGGCGAGGCTTACCACATAGAAACGGCCTTAGGATGTTGATGGAAACACTGTTAAACCAGAAGATCCAGAAGGAAGCGGATGAGACTACACCAGAGGGGCACGATAGCGCAGAGGATGCCAGAGCTGCGGGCGAGCTGGTCAGACTGAAGGTGCGGGATGAGTGGAAGGATCTTAGAATGAAGGGTTGGTCTCTACAGGACGGAGAGCTCGCCCCGCCGGATGAAGCATGGACGGTAGTAGGAGCAAAGAAGTAAGGCATCCAATGGAGCAGCTAGCCCGTTGTTCTACGTACGATTTTTAAAGGTTGCTTGATTATACTGCGCGGCGCTGGCAGTTTCGTTTAGCTTGTGTTATTTACTTAGGACGTATTACGTTGCGTTAATAGATTCGTCCAGATAGGACAAGGAACGTAGACATGAATAAACATCGAGTCAACAACGAACTCCGGATTTTTACTAGTTGTAACACATTATTCGTACCCCGAAGTGGAGAATCGGGCAGTTCATTGCTAATATACACATGGCCTCATTTTTGGATATCCTTCTCCTAGCCCGCCTTATGCCTTGCCCATCGAAAGTAAGAATTGCCCGCTGCCCCCTTGCTTGCTGCTGCCCGGCAGATACGAAACATTCGGATTCGGAGCCAGGATCTGAGCGATCTCGCGGCTGGCCTCGATCTTACGGATCTGGATGAGGCCGTCACCGAACTTGGCGATGGCCCTGGAGATGGTCTCGGCACTCTCAGCCTCTCCTTCGGCGCGGATAACGTTGGCCTGGCGCTCCTGTTCGGCCTTCTCGACGATGAAGCGGGCACGCTCGGCGTCCTGCTGGGCGATCTGCTTCTGCTCGACGGCCTTGGTGAATTCCTTGCCGAAGGTCATGTGGGTGATGGACACGTCCTCGAGCGCGATGTTGAACTCGGAGGCGCGTTTCATCAGGTCCGTCCGGATCCGCTGCGATACGGCTTCGCGCTGCGTGATTAGTTCTGCGGCGTCGAATTGTGCGACGATGGACTTTAAGACTTCGTTGCCGATGGAGGGGAGCACACGCTCGTCGTAGTCGGTGCCGAGGTTCTGGGGGGTTGGGTTAGCTTTGGCTGTTGCTTCTATAATTCTTGTTGCGTTGTCTCCGTCTTTCGTAGGAGCTTGAGCAAGGAAGAACGCACTTGGTAGATCTTGGGTAGGGACTTGACATCAGGTCGATGTAGCACTCTCAGCGTTAAGCTGACCATTTGCAGATCCTTGCTTCCGGTCGTAGTAGCGATATTTCTGGGCTTAGTGCGAACATCGAAGATAATACTGCGCTGTAGCCATGGTACCAGGAAGTGGGTGCCCTCGTTGATGACGGTCTCTTTGACTCCCTGTATTCTGTCGAAGATGACGGCCCTCGAGCCGCCGCGGACGTCGTATATAGAGGCTTGAAGCAGGGCGGAGGCGCCAATCGCGGGGATCGCCAGCCGGTATATCTGTCTGAGACCGTATTCCATTGCTGCGAATTTGGGTGCTTCGCGTTTCGTTTGTGGTCCGTTGTTTCTAAGCTTTCCACTAGGTCTGGAAGATATTGGATGGAGCTCCCGGCTTGAGAAATCGTTAGGATGTTAGCGGGCGGATTGGACGGGAAAAAAGATGGTCTGTGCACTAGGATTATTTTGGAGGGGCTCTGATTAGGTACTTCCATAATCGGAGCTAAGGTTATCCGGGAAGTCAAGCCACATGGGGCGATGCATCTTTAGCTTGACCAATGTTACCTACTGCCAATCGAACCCGGCTCGGTAACATCTTCAATTTTGACGTCGCGAATTTCAACCGAAACTCTATTCCTCACCTTCTATCTCCCGTAATTGAACCACTCGCGTGTCAATTGAATTCGATATTCACGATGCGACCTACTCAAGCTCTTATGGGTGGTGGCGAGGGCCCCATCGGCAGACATGGAAAGTGAGTTTTCTTCGAGAGACTGGGCTGCGTCTTTTTTTCCTCTCTGGATCCTAGCTTTCGCAACGAACTAGCTACGCACGCTGTACTTATGAAACCCATTTCTCGCAGACCTGCTGACTCTTCTATTATAGGTTCCTGGGCGGCTGGGGCAACTTCGGTGAGTGAACCATATTCGAATTCGAGCTGGGATCGGTGTGAATGTTAGAAAGAGTTGGAATGCGTCTATAAAATGGATGGATGGATGATGTTACTGGGACAATGGACTAGCTATCGGGCACCGATCGAATATTACGCAGATTACGGACGTTAGAACGATATACTAACGAGGAGGATTATAGGTGGCATGCCGCAAAAAGGTATCATCAGCTACACCCTGAGCGCAAACAGGCAGAACCCGCTCGCCGGTACCGCGCACGCTGCCATCTTCAACACCTGGCGACGATTCAGCGCACAGGTCCTCTACGTCGCTCCCCCCCTGATCTTCTTCTACTACGCCATGTCGTGGGCCACCGACCGGTATGCTTTATCTTAGACCCTCATAGCACGAATGAATGGCTTTTCGAACTAGACTAACACCGCGCAGAAACCACTACCTCAACTCTAAGGCCGGTCGCCAGGAGTTCGCTGGCGAATAGATGGGTCCTCGTAGATAATAGACAACGGAGGTTAATCTGTCGTGTGTAGACAAGACCTTGTATACCTACTATCAATAGACTAGAGCGCAAGAGCTACGAATATCCAAATTCTCTTTTATTTCTGAGTCGATAGCATACTTAACGATGAATTCGTAGACATCTGGTTTATAATTTCTACGGAAGTATTCCATATCATACGCCATGTGCTTGCTAAAGCCAAGTACATGAGGCCGACATGACATGTATGTGGTCTCATACAGGACTACAATAAAGGATATAATAACTGTAATAACCCAAGGCGAGCATTCAACTATATTAAGTATAGAACGTAGCCTACTCCTAAGCACTTTCGTTGTAATTCCAAAGTCCCAATATGGCACCGGCTATTGCTTCTTAGGTTAGGTACTTAGGTACAAGCGTGTTTACCGACCAAGCAGAATTGACGTAAAGGTAATCTAGCCGGTAATTCCTCGGCAAATCCCTAACCAGAACCATCTCATCTCGAAATAAGCTCACTTCAACAACCAAGCGACAACATCCAAGTAGATCTCTCCCCTCCTAAATAGCCACAATGGCCTCCAACGCAGTTGCGAAAGCTGTAGGAGGCGTAGTGAGCATTAGCCAAGTATGTAACGCCCCTTTATCCGTCGAATTGACGGTAATTAGTAACCCCGGGGCCATTACGTTGTTAATTAACGATCATGTCCCTAGAAACAAACCCTCCAGTCCACCGGTATATGGGAGCGCATCCGGCGCGCCTTCGCCGTCGACCCGAACCGCTCGAACGGTATCCCGCTTAACCCGCACTACCGCAACCCGACGCCGGGTGGCCAGGACCCGTTAAACTACGACGACCCGGTGACGATACCGGCGGGCGACATCGCGGACAACCCGTACTGGAAGCGAGATACGCGGCGCGCGTACCCGAGGCTAAGCTTCGTCACGCAGGGCGACGCCGTGGCCCTGCTTACCGTCGGCAGCGCCGCCGCTCCCAAGCAAGAGCTCATCGGCGAGGCGGGCCAGAAGCAGCTCGTTGCCGTGCAGGAGCAGGGCAAGACGGGCGGTCTGGCGGCGTACTTTGAGAAGAGCAAGGATGCGGCTAGGCAGGCTTTGTTCGTGAATGGGCTGCCGCCGCTGCCGAGCGGAGAGAAGAAGCATAGTGATGGTAGTTGGAAGGTGCATGAATACGCGCTGAGCGAGGAGAGCGCGTACCCCGAATCGTAAGTACACTCTGTCAATTATGGATTTCTATGGACTGTGATGGGGATAATATGATGAGAGAGATGCTAATGTGCTGCATAGATACCCTTGCCGGAATTTCAAATAGACTTAGACATGCCATGTGTACGGTGGAGCAAGTTGTAGATATGAGAAAAACCAGCTCCTAATATCAGATTCCCTCACGATTTACACACTCTTTAGCGGTGACGGTGCTTCTAAAATTAATAGTTCATCCGAGTTTATAGCCGGTCTAACTGTTTCGTTGGCGTGTGCCTGATTCTAGATGCCATGGTATAAGCTTCTTACACGAAGATGCTAGTAGCTAATCCACCCCCCTTCAATCACTAATTTAAGGCATTCATATATTGCCCATCACCACTTCTGTCCTCTGCGGTATCCTCCCGATGTCCTCGATGTTCTCATTCTTCTGGGCTGGCTGGCGGTTCCTGTTGGCTGAGCTTTTATCACCGGCTCCTTCACCGATGGCCCGCTCGATCATCTTGACTCTGGATTGGGCGCCCTTCAACCTGCTGTCGAAGTCATTGACGGACTCGTCATCGTTCTTAGTCGACAGCGTTCCAGGCTCCAGTATGCCATACAGCATGGTGATGTTCTTTTCCAGTCGCGGGTTGCTATTGAGAGGTGGTAACCTTTTTGGTTCGGAGTCCTTCTCATCTTGAGAACTAGATGATAGCCCAGTCTGCGCCAGCTCCTGCTGTGAATTGCTATCGAGTGTAGATGGCTCCTGTTGGTTGGGTAGCCGGCTTTGCCAGACTATAGCTTTGCCTTGCAACCGGCCCGCTTCTAAGAATTTCTCGAATCCCGTCTTCATACCGACAGAGCGGCCTTCGATCCGGCCGGCTTCAGCACCATCCTTGTAGCCCTCGTCGTAGCCTTCCTTGTAGTACTGCTCTTCTAGGTTCAGAATATCATCAAACAGGTCGTCTGAAGGCATATTCGAAGGTCGTATATTTGAAGATGTGATTTGACACCAATAATAATAAATTATGCTTCCTATGGATTTTAATTTTGCCGCCGATATATCCTGGCTCCGAGTCTAGTATAAGTTTACGGATTACTTCAAAGTAGAAATGGCCGAATCGGAATGGAGGGGCAGATACGTGGGGCAAGATAAAGCTGTGTATGCATTTAAAGATCTTATTCAATAGAAAGAGAATACCTGGCATTCCTAAGAATATTAGTACAAGCGGAAGTAACCCCGCCAAACTCTATTATTATCGATATCAATATAAAGCTTTGGTTGTGCGACTCTTAATCATACATAAGCTAGGTACAGCTCACTTTACCTTCACCTTACATACCTACGTACCAACTACACTAGACGGCGACTCGTCGAGTATCGGAGCCTCTTCTTTGTAGCAAGGGCAGGGGCACAAAACAATCAATTACCCCAACAAGAAGTAAACGAAGGACACGGACAGACAGACAGACACAATGGATATTAGGCGCCTCGAGGCGCGGGACATCCCGCTGATCCAGCATGCGAACTTGGAAAACCTACCCGAGAATTACTTCATGAAATACTATCTATACCACGCCCTATCATGGCCTCAGCTCAGCTACGTCGCCGTCGACGTGTCGCGACCCAAGAAGACCCCCTACGACTACCCCAAGATCGTAGGATACGTCCTTGCTAAGATGGAGGAGGAGCCCTCCGACGGCGTCCAGCACGGCCACATCACCTCGCTGTCCGTCATGCGCACCCACCGCCGCCTGGGCATCGCCGAGAAGCTCATGAGGCAAAGCCGTGGGTTCCCTCCCCCCTCTCTACACCTATATGTATTGCAATAGAACACCCCACTGACGAAAGCAACACAACAGAACTAGCCATGGTCGAAACCTTCGGCGCGCAATACGTAAGCCTCCACGTGCGCGTCTCCAACAAAGCCGCCATCCACCTCTACACCAAGACCCTAGGCTTCGACCAGGAGAAGACCGAGCCCAAGTACTATGCCGACGGCGAAGACGCCCACTGCATGCGCCTCGACCTGTCCTCCATCCGCGAGCAGATCCGCGACGCCCAGCTCGACGCCGAAGACGACAACAACAACAACAACGGCGACAACAACAACAACGGCGGCGACGAACCCCTCGACGAGGGCGATCCCGTCGGCGATGCCGGCAAGGCCGACGATAAGAAGGCCCTGCCGAATCGCCCCAAGGAGACTAAGCGCAAGGTTAAGGTTGGCCGCGCCCTGGGCGTGCAGGCGTTGGTGGAGAAGGATGAGAGTAAGCATTCTTAGAGAGAGTGTGCGTGTGTCGTTGTGTGTGAAGTTGGGACGGGTTAAGGGAAGGTTATGCCGTAGAAAAGGGAAAGATGACTCGGTTTCTTCGAGGGAGTCGTAGAGGTTTTCTTGCGGCATGGCATCAGTTGAATAGCATTTGCTCCTGGTTCGGAAAAAGGGCCAGTATAGGTTCACCTTAAGAGTTATGTTATGGCGTAGGTACATATCCTAGAGACACTTCATGTTTTTACGCATAAGGCACGGGTGTTGAAGCGGAAAAGACAGCATTCTATGAGAGTGTTATATCTGTTTACTTGGTGAAATCATCGTCTCTTGAAAGTTATTATACATAAGTGTCGTAATTTGACCGAAATCTCGAGTCTCTAGGAAATCATACTATAACCATAGCCAGCAAACTCCCGCCACCTTTCGTGAATGGCTTGGTTCCGTGTCCTCATGTCGATATACCCTCAACCCTGCCCATCCATACCTAGAACAAATTGCAATATCCGTTAAAAAGTTTAGCCCCTAAACATCCCCTCCACCCTCTTCGACACTGCGGTTCTCGTCTCGTCTATCCGCGCTGATGCTCTTCCTCCTGCAACCTCCTCGCAAGCTCCTCATCGGCCTGTAACTGCAAGCCTTCAAACCGTAACCTCTCGACATCCTGTTGCAGCCTCTCGATCTCATCTTCCAGGACCGCGGCCTTCCTCTCCTTATTCGTGCTCTTCTTGTCCCCGCCCCGTTCTTCTCCCTCACGCAGCGCCGCCTCCGTCCGCTCCCGCTCGATCGTCTCGCGTAGCGCCCTTAGCGAGCGTGCCTTGCCTGTGATCTCCGCGTCTAGGGTGTCTGCTGCCTGGAGCTTGTCGTTTGTCGGTGCTGGTGCTGGTACTGGTACTGGTGCTGGCGGCGGCGGCGGCGGTGCTGAACCCCAGGGAGAGTACTCCCTGTGAACAGAGGCCCACATAGCGGCAGCCGCCGTGGCAGCCGCTTGGGCGCGGGCTGCATTCGCTGTCCTCTGCGCTTCAGCCCGCGCCATGTTCACCTCTGCTTGTGCGTGAGCTCTAGCTTGGTTTGCTTGCTGTTGCGCAAGATCTCTGGCTTGATTGGCTTGTTGTTGTGCAAGATCTCTCGCTTGCTCGGCCTGCTGTTTTGCGTGTTGGACGTGCGCTTCCCAGGGGCGCGGATGGTGGCCGCCGAAGGGTCCGCCTCGCCCTCTGCCGCCGCGACCGAAGGGGAAACCGGGACCTCCGAATGGGAAGCTTGGTACGTTGATTGGGTGATTGCCAGGGACGTGGCTAGGCACGCTAGGCATAGCAGGAATAGGCATGTCACCGACTACCGGTGGGAAAGGGTGGGAAGAGCTAGCAGCACCAGGACCGCGTCTAGAATGTCCTTCCATCTCGCGCTCGGCACTTCTGACGTCGCGCTGTAGATTTCTCTGCTCTCGCTTCTCGGCCCTTCTCCGCTCCCGGCGCTCGCGTTTATGCGCTCTCTTCTGCTCCCTCTTCTCTTTACGCAGCGACCTCGCGCGTCGCTTTTGCTCCCGCTTGAGGGTTTTAAATCGCGCGAGCAACGCTTGCACCTCTCGGCGCATCGCCTGCCTATTAACCTCCCTGTCGTCAGCTGGTAGAGGAGCGTTCTTCGCGGCCTTGATTTCGGACCGCAACGCCTTGAGCATCTCCTTGGTCACGGGCTGCTCTGGGTGGTCAAGCCATGTGCGGATCGACTGCTTGGCATAAGGAAGCTGAGAGTCGTTTAAATCATCGCAGTCAGGAAGGCTGCCGATGCTGGACCCCGAATCTGAGTCTGACGAGGAAGAACCGCTAGAGCTCGAGCTGGGTGAGCGGTCGCGCGATCCGTGGTGACCATGGTCAGGACGATCTCGCCACCAGCGCCCTCGGCCACAGCCACGCCCTATGCCGTGTTCGCCAAAACCTCTTCCTTGCTGGAAATCACCAAAAGGACCGGGTCCGGCAGGAAAGTCACGGGTTCCTGGGCCAGCAAAGGGGGAGCTGCCATCAGCAGGTTGACCGCCCCAACGCACGCCATTGCGATCTACTTCGAACGAGTCGCCGAACGAGACGCGATCATTGTCGATAGTGAGACGCCCCATACGGAGGCCTCGGCTGTTTGCCTCGAGGGGTCTGAACGGGTTCCACCACGATCTGGAAGATTGCCCCTGGGGTTGAGGGTGAGACTGGGGTTCGACAGGGGGAATTTGTTGGGTGGCGGGTGTTCGCGATGTGCTGGGGGGTTGAGGCGTAGCTCGCTCAATAGTCACGCCTCTAGGGCCAAAGAAGCCATCATTCCATTCTCGGATCATGGCATCGACGTCATGCGAAGATTGCGTCGCCAAATTAGTAGATAATTTAATTTGGCCTAGTTGCGCCTCGGCAATGCTTCTGTTAGTATTTGACGATTGCTTCTCGTCCTCAGCCTGTAATTTACGCTCGATGACATTCGAGTTCGCCCGCGAGGCATGGTCCGGCAAGAGGTAATTAAGAAATGTCTGCCAGTCCTGCTCGGTAGTGTCATGTTCTCTTGCCCAGCCCGGGTATGGGAAATCATCTGGAGAAGCATCCTCTGTAATAGCTAACGAAATTACAAAGGTTTTGCCGGTCGCACCTCTGAGAGCAGGGCGCGACTCGAAGTAAGAATGAGCAGAAGCTATTGTATGATGATCGTCACTACCAGGGAAGTTGAAGTGCGACTCTCGCGGGGTTTCCGGTGGGGTGTAGACTGTAGTGCTATGGGATGATGTGGTAACAGAGACATTGTCGTCGTTCGCCCCGGGTTGAGCGACAGGTGAACGACTTGAATGTGAATGAATGTCAGTTTCGGTATACGGGGGTGGCGGAACGTCGTCCATCGTAAGTTTGTTGATTGAGAAATATGGTGTTGTTGTAGAAGGGAAGATATCTACTACTGAGGCTTTGATGGGAGCTTAGGTACCTAATGTAGAGCTTATGTACCTAAGGTTAGGTACCTAAGGTTAGGTAGGTACCTATGAAATATAGGTAGGTTTAATAGTGTTACCTGCTAAGGACTCGGATGAAGTATACATGTAGGTAACTAAGTATTAATATTTCTTATATAAGTGCAACATGCATGCAGTTTTTAAAAGGCAAACATAACATGAAAAACCAGATATATCCGATGGGCTTGAGGATACTTTTTTATTTATCTACGTGACCAACCTATTCAGATCCTTCTAGGAGAGACAATTAGGTCCGGTCTGCGCCTCTATAGAAGGTGTTTTAATTGGCGGCTGAGCTGTTCAGCCCTGGAGACGAATCCCTGAATGAGATTCGCTCGATCCCGAGTGGAGGAGGGCCAAGCTTCTGTCAATCAACCCACCCCACGTTCTATTGAGCTGCTCCGTCAGCGTTTGCTCGCCAAGAATCCCTGCACTTGCATCCGAAGCTACCTGTTATTGTGGTAAAGGTGACGCGGCCACCACGATTACACACGCTTGCCTACACAAGGCTGCCTCAAAGATGAGTCAAACTACCGGGGTATTCGAATGAGCTTTGCATCCTAGAAACAGATGCCGGTCTTACTCGGGGAAATATTTCCTGCTAGAAACGTCCACCTTCACATTGCCTATATGACTACCATAGAGTGTCGCAATTAGACATGACGGCGTACCATCTAAATCATCTCTGGATTCTCCCAAAGAGGTCAAAGTTGATGTCATCCTCCTTATAATGATCGGCTATAAGACCATGCAAGTGGTCTTTAGAGTGCGCACCCCTATTATGAAGAGTTAGCAATTGCTAGACTTGTAACAACTCAATACTTTGAAGAAATCACTTACAAGTTCGTAATATACGTGTTGACAAGGTCGGTAGGAATAAACTCAGCGATAGCATTCTTTACTCTCACCTGTCCAACCATTTCACCGTCTGCGAAGTTAACATACTTAGAAGGGCCCCCCCATTCAACAAACCCTCCATGATAGAAACGACTATCAGGACTGAGCTTATAGACGCCGCCTAGGACAATGACTGTCCGGCCTTGCTCTCGAGCGGCGCGAGCGATGACTGCAGCACCGGAGTCGACTATAACTCCGCCCTTCTTTGTAATCGCCCGAGCTCCGAGAATGACTTTGTTGACTTTCGACATGTAAGCCATGAGGCCGACGTTCATGATATTAACTACAGTCGATCCAGAGGACGACAAAGATTTTCGTAGGGAGGTATACGGGTCATCGTCGGTAGAGGCTGTGGATGGGTCGACAACGAGAAATACCGTAAACTTCCTTTTCGATGCGGCTCGTAGAAGAAACTTCTGAACTGTTCTTGAGGGCTGGTGAACTAAGATGTAATCTCCTGGGTGGATGACGATCTCGGCGTAGGCTTGGACCTGTTCATCAACCTGCCTTATCTCATCCATAATTTCTTCGATTCCGTCAATCACTTCAGACCTAAGTGCCTGTATGTTTGTAGATTGTGGAAATCCCTGTGGCGTGGAGGCCCCCGAGCCCAGCTTGGGCGTGGAACCCGGCGAGGGGATAAAGTCTGGGTCTGAGAGAAGGTTGAACATTGACTGCGTGCGGGCAAAGGACCCAAGGGCGACTAGCGAGGGAAGTCGAGTTGATTTTGAGATGGGGATAGGCTCTATTGCGGGAGGTAAAGTAGGAGTTCTGTCAGTAGGCGAGTCGCTACCCGCGTCGTTTCGATCCTCCGAGGCTTCATCTCGTATTAATCCTAGAACTCGCTTCACGACGTTGCCAATAACCAGCTCGTGAGGTTGCGCTGTCACAAGTTTCCTGCCGACTAACTGTATGCGCCCGATGAGTTGATCAACGTCGGACCATTTATCCTTGGCGACGACTTGAAGTAGTATATGTGCCGTAGCTATCGCGCAAGATTCGGAGCCTCGTATCTGCCGTCGCTTCAGGAGGCTACGCCGCATATATCAGTCCCAACCTTAGACGGCACGGCATAGAATTTCGCTCTTACGATATCAAAAATTCCACAGAAGCGTCTACCGGTCGACTCTTTAATGTGTCGAGAAACTTGTCCAGGTCGGGCGCATAGCCCCCCTTAGGAGGTGCCATTTCTCGTGGTCTAGGAGTTCCTTAGGAGGGGTATCTGGCTGTATGCGAAGCTTCAATAACTAGTGCGGCGATCTTGAGGATAGTATTGGTCGGCGCAAATAGAGCGTAATCAGCAACGTCTAAATCTTGCTGGGAAGTAAAATTCTAGAATATAAAGGCTTCGGTAGGTAAATTATGTAAAGACACAATAACTCGTTCGTATAGAGTTGGCTTAGTGTCTCTGTAATAGGAGATAATTGCAAATGTTTTGCTGAATTATCGATATGGAGTCTTTTTGCGAGAATTGTGAGTCAAGGACGATCATAAGAGAAAAAAAGGTACGTACGTAGATGGACCAGATCTACATCCATTAGGTACAATTTGAACGTACCTCCCGTACGTGCAGGACATGTACTAGGATATCTCGTTGCATGGCGGGGTTCGTTGCATTGTGGACACGGGCATTCAACACGTGATAGTCAATTTGCTCCTTAAAAAGGTACCTAGGTACCCTATAATGCTAAGAGGATGTGCCTAGCAATGCGTTAGCGGGACAATGTCACTAATTTCCAGTGGTACGGTGGTGGTCCTGTGGTGGTCTTGGCTCCAATAGTTCTGTTCTGTTGGGTCCCCCCCCCGGCGCAGCTGTAATTCTCAAAGAGACTCTATCGCAATAAACTCCCTTAAGACTGCCCTACCTTACCTCCCTAATCTTTTTAAAGTGAGGCTTCTAGAGCTCTCTTGGCTGAACAAAGACGACACTTCGTAACACTTGCAACATTTCGCGACTTGCGTGTTTCTTGAATCTGACCTACCACAGCGATAAAGCTTGATAATACGTATCATATACCCTATTCCCTATTCTATTACCTAGCAGGAATGAAATATTTGGAAAACGTAGATAGATTCTACTATCACTATTGCGCGTAGCTCTCTCAGCCATCATATTCCAACCGAGGTTTGAAAAGAGAAAAAAGGAAAAAAACCCCAATCGCTCTCATCCGAATCCTTTGGACTTTTTTTTTTTTGTACAATACGTCCACAGATTTTTAGAGCATACAAACCATACAGACAGACAATTTCCCCGTCTACCAGCTCCAGCTCCAGCCCCAGCACGGGAGCAAACGCGACTCGGGCAATTCAGCCCGGCCGACCGACCTTGAATTATATTGTCCTTTTTTTCCACCTTCCGCCGTCGCCTCCACCAAATATTTAGCCGTCATAAATAAACTGTGCGAATCTTGCTTGTTATTTAGCGGGCATAATCGGTTCTTCATGGCTTGCAGGTCAACCGGAAGATGAACTCCCTCAATATAATATCCGCGCGCGTCTCCCCGACCTCGAGTCCCGCCCCTTCGCGATCAAACTCCCTGAGCCACATCGGCTTAGCTGTCGCTCAGTCTGATGACAACCCAACGCCTCCAGAGGAAGCATCGCCCAACGAGAAATGCGCAACCACTTCCGAACCGAACGATGGCACATTCACCAGGGAAACCCACCTAGGCAATTTTCTCAGCGCAGACGAGAAGACTCCCTTATTAGACAAAATCGATGCCAAGGAGGCAAATATCCGCTATTACTCGTGGCATATTATCCCCGGGCGCATAGCAAACAGTCTGATAAACTCTATCCGTTTGGTTCTGTCTACCATCGCCGCACCTGGAGTTTATCTCGTCGCTTGCTTTTACGATGAACGGGGGAATTTCGCCCCCTTGCGACAATTCGGGAACCTTTTCGGTATCTACGGGGGCGATGCGCGCAAACTAGCAGCCGACTACCACGAGAGCGTCGCGCTTAATGAAGAGAAGCAAGTCTCCTCTAAGCGTCTCAACCAAGGCTCTAGAGGAAAGTATGCTTTCGCAGCCTCCCGACCGGTACCATCGTCGGGAACTTCATCCTCAGGTCTATCGTCAGAGTCGGAATCGGATATGGTTAGCAGGAAACCAGGTCTCCGCCGCGGCTCCGGTTCTTCCGGTCGCCACGCTCGGTCTAAGTCTCTTGATCCCACCGAAGAGGGTTCGCCAACAAGGAGATCGATAAGGATTAAGTTGAATAACGATGAGGCTATGCGGCAGCGAAAACACAGGAAGGCCCTGTCTACAAGTGCTAGTGGTAGCACTAGCAGCGGCGACGCTTCAGCAGATTTATCGGCTCAACTAAAGTCTCCTACTTCGCCTATCGCGGCTTTGACGAGATATCCTAAGACTCCTGCCCCCCCTAGACCGTTAATACCCCGTCGGCAACCTTCATACGTGCCCTACGAGCCCCTCGATCCGAAGCAACAGAAAACGTTGATATTGGATCTAGACGAGACGTTGATACACAGCATGTCGAAGGGAGGTAGAATGGGTTCGGGACACATGGTCGAAGTGCGGCTGAATACGATGTATGTTGGAAGCGGAGGCCAACAGGCTGTTGGACCTCAGCATCCTATTCTATACTATGTTCATAAGCGGCCGCACTGCGACGAGTTTCTTCGAAAGGTGAGAAGATTAATCTATCGATAACACTAGACTATTATGCTAACCGTGGTCTGCGAAGGTTTGTAAATGGTTCAATCTCGTCGTCTTCACAGCATCGGTACAGGAATACGCAGACCCGGTCATCGACTGGTTGGAATCGGAGAGGAAGTTCTTTTCGGGGAGATACTACCGGCAGCATTGCACATTCAGGCACGGCGCATTTATCAAGGATCTGAGCTCGATAGAACCAGACCTGAGCAAGGTCATGATACTAGACAATAGTCCCTTGAGCTACATGTTCCACCAAGGTAGGATATCCCCTGAACATTCAATATCAAAGTAGGTTTGTTTGCTATTAGTCTGCTAACTAGAGGATTTACATCTGCAGATAATGCGATTCCCATTCAAGGCTGGATCAGTGACCCTACGGATAATGATTTATTGCACCTGGTGCCTCTTCTAGAGGGATTGCAGTACGTTTCTGATGTTAGAGCATTACTTGCATTACGGGGTGGAGAAGACGGACAGCATATGATGACGTGAAGACAATGAAATAAAGACCCTTTGAAGGCAAAAGAACATAGCGGGTGTTAATTGGTATTGGGCGGAGAGGGACTCGATATACCGAGCTAGCATTCCAAGGAACTTTCTACCATTACGTGCTTCGTTGTACAGGTCTACGTTTACGTTATGGCGTTAATATAATAAGTGTACATTTTTTCTAATGGAGTGGGAGACTGCGGAAGAGGCTGGTTCTGTAGCAAGGCAACATGAGAACATTTGGGGACGTATCCTAGTCCGATGCGGTTACGACAACCCAGTGTAGCGCGGAATTGATGAATAGAGACTTGACTGGTTTGCAAAATGGGGTATTCGTTCAATTCACATCGTCATCATTTCGTGAGCTTCCGAAGCTATGACGGTTAAGGCTGACAAAGAGATTCCATCTAATTGCTTCCGGTAACATTCAAGCCACAGCCGAGAAAGCGGGTCTTCTTGTGACCCACCAAGGGGATAGTACTCCGGTCTATGTATGTAGTATCCATGGCCATGGAATGTAACCTCGTGGGTCCGGAATGTAGTCGCAACCTCCAATTAGGTTATGTGTATTTAGCACTTACCCCCCTAGACTAATAGCGTCGGCCAGGGTCAATTCTTGACCCCTAGGTCAATTACTAGCTAAAAGTACAATGGAGTCGCAAAATTTCAATACTTAGTTTTACTAGTGCTTACCACCAAAAATTTTGTATTTTGATTTTTTCGCATCATAGCTTTTATGCGAATACTTGCAATACGCATATCAGGTCTACATGCAAAAGATTAATCTTTTTTTCTTTAACACCACAACGGCCACAACGGCCACAATAGTAATAATTCCAATCAATCTTTATTACGTTGTTTCCGTCGCTATTATCTAATTGATCTAATTTATTTAAATTACTTAAATCTTCGTTTCCAGCCTTTTTCGTTGAATAAGTCTTTATTATTTTTGTCAATATTTAAATTCGTTGACTTTTACAATAGAATCGCAAAATAGATGAGATGGTTGTGGCTTATCTCAGTAGCTCAGACCAGAATTCAAGAAGCAGGCTTCGCCCGCTTGCGCCACGGCGCCACAAAACGCATGGTCCGTGTGTTTGTATCTGTGGGTCACGACTTGAGTGTTTCTCGAATTCTGGTCTGAGTCAACTTGGGCGCCAAGGCCGCAAAAGTGGCACATATTTTTTCAACAATAATCAGTCAACAATAAGTCTACGATGACTTAGTATCCGACAACAACGTACGAAATACCTTCTATTTTTTTGACTCGGGGCTAGTATTTTGCTTTCTCTACCTTCCCATCTTTTTTGCATACCCGTACGGCATCGCGTTGTAATATCGCAGGCCTCAACGTCGAAAAGATAATGTTGGCACATTACCAAAAAAGCCGCAGTCAACAGCACAACAACATCCACAACAACGCCCACAACCACGTATAAAATGATAGAAAATATATCTAGGGCTAATAATTCAATTGCCCCAACATTTTCGTCTTTTTTTTATACCCGTACGACCTTGTCGCGTGTTGCGGCTACCGAGTTACGGCTACCGCGTTGCAACCGGTGTTGCGGCTAATACTGGCCACTTTCATCAACACCACAACAACACCCGCAACCACGTATAAAATGCTTTAGGGGCTATTATTCAATTGCCCAAACTTTTCCGCCTTTTTTTTTTATACCCGTACGGCCTCGTCGCGTGTTGCGGCTACCGCGTTGCGAACGGTGTTGCGAACGGTGTTGCGACCGGTGTTGCGGCTAATATTAGCCACTTTCATCAACACCACAACAACATCCACAACACCTGCAACCACGTATAAAATGCTTTAAGGGCTATTGTTCAATTGCCCAAACCTTCCCGGCTTTTTTTTATACCTGTACGACCTCGTCGCGTGTTGCGGTTACCGTGTTGCGACCGGTGTTGCGATCGGTGTTGCAGCTAATATTGGCCACTTTCAACCCCACTTTCAACACCCTGAAAGACTCGAAACGCATAGATTTAATCGATAAACCTAATAATAAGGTTAGAAAGTATTTGATAGATAGATTATTACTTACATTAAAGCGCGTTAATACTGTTGTTTTGATGCGGCCATGTCTGGTGTAAAAACGACCAAATTGACTCAGACCAGTAATGCGAAATTTTTTTATGAGGGTAAGTCAAGGGTATGATTGGTCAAAAAGTGATGTGGCTAAAAGGGTACAACGAGACGAACCCAAATTTCGCATTACTGGTCTGAGCTACTGAGATAAGTTGTGGCCATCTTTTAAAATATGCATGTTTCAGGAGTAGGTAGTAAACCAGGGGTACGTAATTTTTGGTGGTGCGCCTACCAAAAATTAAGTACTGAATGTTTTTTGTGATTCCATTGTACTTTTAGCTAGTAATTGACCTAGGGGTCAAGAATTGACCCTGGCCGACGCTATTAGTCTAGGGGGGTACATGTAGTTGACGAGCAATGTACCTACCTACCTAGGTTAGGTACCTATCGCAAATTTGGAGACTTCGATTTGCTTAATCATTACATGCATATGTATGTACCTATATGTATTTATATCTCGGTACCTTTGGAGATGAGAGATGTGGGAATGGTATACTGAGAATACCCAACTAAGAAACAGCGCCAATTCGAGAAGGAAAAAACCTCGACATTTTTGTAACTAATAAACTAGAAGCTTGCAACATTATACATAGTAAAGCTCCAGCCACAAATTAACGAGCTTAGATCGGCCATTCTTAGGTCCACGACTCATGATCCATATAAGCCCCGCGACCCAATCAATAACCTAGTGGCGTCAACGACATCTAAAGATATCTATTACGTCATGTTGAACGCCGAACCGAGACTTCGGTGCTTGAGAAGGCTACAATAGTTGGAGGTGAGAGACTTTAGATTTCACCTTGCCGTTACGAAACCGGGATCCATGTATCCCTAGGTAGCCTAAGTACATGTAGCGTAATGTAATGTACAACTATGTAGAGCCTCGGATTATACATACCAAGTTCCTAGTTACGCCATCTATTGAAAATGTTGTTTTCGTCATCGGTGCCGTAGCTTGACGTTATAAGAAGACCTTTTCTCAACGCTCTCCTTCTTCTTTAATCACAAATCATTAAGAACTTCACCAGCGATATCTACTTTCTACAGACGACGATTCGAATTATACATCATTTTATAACTACCTAGTTACATCTAATTATCAAACCATAATATCTGATCACAATCATCATGTCTCTTCACTGTAAGTAACGAGCACCTCGTCCTATTGCTTTCTGAACAAATACAGTTATTAGTCTCATAGGCGTCTCAAGAGTCTTTAGATCTCTAAGGCGTGGCCATCAATTAGCTGTTAGTTATGGACTTTCAAAGGCTAACAAGCACCAATCTCCAGATCTTCCTCCTGTCAAGCCCTCGGCCATCGCCCTCGGAACCGTCTTCAACCACGGTATTGAACTAGCAGTTCTATCCCCGCTATTCGGCCAGACCTACCAGCGAGCCAAGGCTGCCAACACTAAGGAGGAGTTCATCCGATCAAAAGAAGCCGCGTCGACTGCTGCCGCTATAGGAACCTCTCTAGTCGGCTCTGCCCTGCAATCATATGGCATTGGTGCCCTCATCAACGCAACCGGCACTCTTAGCTACAAGGGCGCCGCCTACCTAGGTGCCCTCATCTTCGCGGCTACATCCGCCCCTACAGTATGTCTATCCTACTGCTCAGACGTCAGATATCTCAAACTAACATCATAACAGTACCTTACACAGCTCATCACCGAGAAGCGACCTGTTGACACTGTCGCGGTCGGTGCCACATCAAAGATCCTCGAGACCGTTGGCTTGTCTCTATTCCTCACCTGGTGGGGAACCCGAACCAACCCTTTCGACTAAATTAGGAAAGTTGGAAGGACCTGTGTTTATTAGTTTCCCTGCGGGTTGATATAATGCTAGGAAGCCGTATGGAGTCTGCGTGCTATCACTAGTTGTAGAATGGATAAATCAATAAATGTTCACGAATAATCATCTCGTATCACCCACCAACTTCAACTCGTGAACTGCAAACTCGAGTAACACGCCAGTTTCATTTGAACCAATATTAATTGATCCGCCAACGCAAATATGAAGTGTTTCCCCCAACGCCAGAGGCTACGCCTACGTAGCCAACCGAAACAGTACGTACATTTTGATCCGAAGATGCCCTTGGATGCTTGAAAGGACAGCGAACAACGCCCGCGACTAGGGACCACCAAAGCCGATATTCCTAGGCTAGCTAATAAAATGGCCACGTCGAATGGTGATCTCTCATACAAATACCCAGAGATAATGACCGCAATAAAGTAAAGCCTACGTGAACTTGAGTTGCTTGCTCTCCTTCTCGACCAGCTTGACCAGGTCCTTGTACGCCGCGGCGAAGTCCTCACCATCCTCCTCGGCTATCTTCTCGTCCGCCTTGTCCTTCTTGCCTCCGGTCCGCTTCTCGGTGACCATGACAACACTGGTGGGTCGCTTGGTGCTGCCGGCGGCGCCTAGCTCGGCACGCGACGTGACGAAGATATACGGCACGTTGACGTCCTCGCATAGCACGGGGATATGGCTAATAACATCCATAGGGCTGATGTCGCCGGCTAGGATTACGACGCCCGGGAACGAGGTGTTGCCCGGTCCGCTGGCGGGCGACTTGCGTAGCGACTTGACGACTTCCTTCACGCCACGCTTAAGGGTCTTGTGCTTCGCAGCTATATTTAAAATCACGTTAGCGCTTAGCTGTTCATTAATCTGATAAGGAAATGCATGGAGAAATATGCTGCAGCTGCAGCAAAAGACAAGGATTTAAGATAGACATACCCTTCCGCACGGTCTTCATAATCTTCTTGGTGCCCTTCTCGTCCGCCAATGGCTTCGCAAAGGGTACCAAAGCACCCACTACGGGAACCAGGACCTTAGCAACCTTCTCCTCGCCATCCTTCACGACGGTGACAGACGCCGAGGTGTCAACTTCTAATTGGTCGTCGAGGGCAGCATTGACGACAGTCTTAAGCTTCTCCTTCTTATCTTTCTTGTCCTTCTTGTCTTTCTTAGACTTCGTCACGCCGTCGGCCTCGCTGCGCTTCTTGTCCTTCTTTTCCTTCTTCTCCTTCTCTGGCTTCGTCGACCCCATCTTGTCTCTTGGCGTTCTCGAGGAAACACGCGCAGGTTTTTATTTGAGCGACCGACTTGATCAGACGTACGAGGTCGTCAGGATGGGGGAGTTTTTTGTTGTAGTGGGTGGGTGTTGGACCTCAATGGATCAATTTTCAAATGGTATCAATTGACCGATAAAAAAAAATAAAAAATCGAGCTGGAAATTTTTCTTGATCGATAGGAAGGAAATCTTAGCAGCTTTTCGCGGGGAGCAAATTTAACCAATCAGAAGCTTTGGTGGTTTGGAGTATTCCCGCTTTAGTCTCCAATCGACAGGGGCTTGTACATACCTAATGTGGATCCAAGCATTTAGTAGTTGCAGCTCACTCTTTCATCTTCCACTCCTTCACCTTCAAATCACACAAACATTATAGGTATCCTACCTAGGTATCTCCTGCCTACGGGTATGTAGGTACACACTACCTAGATTATCTCTGCATCGACGCCGCATTTCTTAAATTATAAACTATAGATTATAACGTCACGAAATAAGCAGGAGGAATTCTATTTTGAATCTCTTCCACAGTTAAGATATTATTTCGGCTCTCACAACATAGTAAGACAATTGAAGCAGTACAATCCTGGACAACTGTCTCGCGAGCTCAATCCGAATTGATTCGAGCCGCATTGGTTACACTTTTTTCCTACTTAAACCCTTGCCTTCTCGGGCCTTTCCTGTTATTGCAACCCAACGTCTTTTATGCCAGAGTAATGAAAGTTACCGAACCATGCTGGTAATTCGATAATATCAGACCGCCTCCAAGATATTATATTAGTAGGTACATTTCCTAGCTGCAACGGAAAAGGCTTAGTTCAATCGAAGGGATGGCGATCCTGAATGACTTTTCCATGCTGCTGTGGCCAACGATGGACCTCTGAGCTCCTCTAGTCATAACCGAGTATACGGGATGCTATTCTGAATCCGGGGTATTTGCACCCCGCCTTGAATATGCGATGTCACTCGGGTCTACCTTGTGACATGCCTTTTACGTACTATCAGCTGCTCTTCCTTTGTATTCCGAGCTTCTCTTTCCTCCTCATTTACATAGCTATCGCAGCTATGAATACCCAGTATTCCAATAATTGAAGTATGTTCAACTGGGCTCAGTGAGAATATAGCTGCCTCCCAAGATGAACGTTCAATTGCTTATACAGTCTTTCATTGTGGCTACATTATGCCAAACGACTTCTGCAAATCTATCTCGCCGGGATACTAACAGCTCTGTTGGTGGTTATGACTTCGTAGATCCTCTAATCGGCACTCGTAATGGAGGTGAGCTCGCTTGTATTATGTTGTCCTTACAGACTGCCTAACTGATCATTATTATAGGTCATGTCTTTGCCGGAGCGACCTTGCCATTTGGTAAGCAGGATCAACAGCCACAATGTCTACCTAATGTATACCAAGCATCTCTGATAGAATCCTAGGAATGGCGAAAGCAGTTGCGGATGTCACAAGCGATAACCAGGGAGGGTATGCCTCAAATGGAAGCCCAGTTACAGGTTTCTCCCACATGCACGACTCGGGCACTGGTGGTGCCTCATCACTTGGAAATTTTCCAGTCTTCGTTTATCCAGGCTGCGCGAATGACGACGTAAACGGATGCATTTTCCCTAAGACCCAGCGTAGCGTGCAGGTCGTTGATGGGAGTGTTTCAGCTCGTCCTGGCTATTTCACCATCGATCTCGTCTCTGGTATAAGGGCCGAGATTACGGCTACAAACCACACGGCTCTTTACGACTTCACATTCTTCGGCAATGCTACAGGAAATGCCTCTGTAGACGCACCCTTAAGCCCTCTGTTCATTTTCGATCTGACGGATCTGCCCGATACTCGCCTCAACGGCAGTGCATCTGTCGATCCAGGTACCGGTAGAATCTCTGGAAACGGAACTTTCCTGCCTAGTTTTGGAACCGGTACATACACGCTACATTTCTGTGCCGACTTTCCTCAAGGAACTTCTATACGCGAAACGGGAGTGTTCGTGAACACTAGGGCTAGTAGTGAGCCCAAGAATATCGTATTAGGACAAGACAATAATTCCCCTCCTCTGCCAGCAGGAGCCTACACTTGGCTCAATGAGGTTGAAACAGGCACCACAATCACGGTTCGGGTCGGGCTTTCATTCAAGAGTGTTGAGCAAGCTTGCGGGTCCGCTGAGGCAGAGGTCCCAGACTTCAGCTTCTCAAAAACTTTGGCCGCCGCAGAAGATGCTTGGAAAGATAAACTCTCAGTATTAAGTATCGACACCACTGGTTTTGAAGACACCTCTTTGCAGACAGTCTTCTGGAGTGGCGTGTACAGGGCAATGTTGAGTCCCCAGGATTATACTGGTGAAAATTATCTCTGGGAAAGCGACGAGCCGTACTACGACTCATGGTACTGTATATGGGATAGTTTTCGATCTATTCACCCCTTCATTACCCTCGTGGACCCCTATTCCCAAACTCTGATGATCCGCTCTCTCATCGATATTTACCGTCACGAAGGGTGGCTACCAGATTGTCGAATGTCCCTTTGTAAAGGATGGACTCAAGGGGGGTCTAACGCTGATATCGTGCTGGTAGATGCGTTTCTCAAGAACATTACACAGGGTGTTGACTGGGACACTGGGTATGAGGCATTGATAAAGGATGCAGAAGACGAACCACCGGTGTGGGACTACGAAGGCCGTGGCGGTTTATATAGTTGGAAGAAGTATGGTTACATTCCCGCAGATGACTTCGATCCGTACGGCAATGGCCTATTCACCAGAAGTGTGTCCAGAACTGTGGAGTATGCTTACAACGACTTTTGTATCGCTGAAATAGCGAAGGCGCTAGGCAAGCAGGATGATTACGAGAAGTATACCAAGCGGTCTGGGAATTGGGTCAACTTGTACAATGCCGATCAGGCCTCGGATATAAATGGTACGGACACTGGCTTCACCGGCTATCTGCAACCAAGGTATTTAAATGGTACCTTTGGATACCAGGACCCGACGCTTTGCTCTTCTGTTATGTCATTTGACTCTTGCTATCTCAACTCGGGTGGCCACGAGACATATGAAGGTAGCCCCTGGCTTTACAGTTTCTTCGCACCTCACGATATGGCAACCTTAATCACCACCCTTGGCGGACCCGATACATTTGTCAGTCGTTTGGACTATCTTCACGAGAGCGGTATCCTTTACGTCGGTGACGAACAAGCATTTTTAACCATATTCCAATACCATTACGCTGGTCGCCCTGGTAAATCTGCCGAGCGAGTCCACTACTATATACCCAGCCAGTTCAACACCACAACGGCAGGCATCCCTGGAAACGATGACTCGGGCGCTATGGGTTCATTCGTAGCCTTGGCGATGATGGGCATATTTCCAAATCCTGGCCAGGACATCTATTTTATCACGGCCCCTTTCTTTCCGTCCGTCTCGATCACCAATCGCATAACAGGTAATACGGCAACGATCAAGACTAGTAACTTTGATACCGCGTACAAGAACATCTACATACAAAGCGCAAAGCTTGACGGAAAGGAATACACGAAGAATTATCTCACGCACAGCTTCTTCCTCGAGGGCGGTACATTGGAACTCACGTTGGGCGATAAGGAGAGCACGAGTTGGGGTACAGGAGATGACAACGTACCACCAAGCGTAAGTACGAGTAAGAAGTAGAGTTACTTGTATTAGAAATATAGGTAGATAGTCTATCCATGCAGATAGATTCTATTACGTATAAATGAAACATGTGACTACTAGATTCTTTGAAGCATTGATACGTAAGACTTAAGTACCTAAAGTACCTAAGACAGGAGAATCAATTTGTTCGATGGTTTTCATGTAAGTTCGTATATTAGGAATTAATAAGCACTAAGCTCCTATGTACATAAATGGTTACTTGTTCACAACTTCGAGCGGCCCATTCGTTTCGTATGTACGAGCGGTGCCACTGGAGGTGGTCGACGATGGCTCCGACCCTGGTCTAGACGAGCCGTGATCTAAATTTTCTAGGTGGCCTGTTAATTACTAAAGAAACACGTCAAAATGTATTGCAAGTTAAGCAAACCTACCTGGTTGCAAATCATCACGCGCCTCGTTGCTTTGATAATCATTAGAGCGGCGGTATCTCCTAATATAAGACTCCCATACATTCATTATCTTTCTCCTTATCTTTCTCCTCCAGAATATGACCCCAAGGATTGAGAGAAGTATAACTACGCCCATTATACTAAATCCGACTATGCGTCCCGTTTCCGCTGAAGAATTACGCGGCGAAGGAAGAAATGGTGCTGCGATGTTCTCGTCGTCGTCGAGTCGTGCAGGAATTAGATCCCAATCCGGACAACCTTGATCGCATGGGTTCTGTAAACACTATAGAAAGAGAAATTAGTGAGACTAATATGATTTTATATAAAAATTATGCCTGCGCGGCTTAAAAGCTTTCATTACTGGAGGTTTGCGTACTATCTGAGAGTGATAGGTCCTCGACTACCTATGCAAGGAGGATTTAATCCCTAGGAGAGGGGTTAGGGGTTAGGGAGAAGAGGAAACTGTTCGTTACGTACGCAACCCATGAACTTAGGCGTTGCAAAGTCGCACGTATACCACTCACGTTCATCATGAGGGGCGACGCAATTCTGATGATGACCTGGATAGCTGACGTAGCTGGCTGGGCGGAGCTCGCCAAGTAGACACTGGCCTCCGTTGGAGCATGGATCCGTTTCACAACACCCAAGAAAGCGAACCTGACTAGATAGGCATATGTAAAAGGAGCCTCCGGAGGGACAGGAGAGCCCATATTTCTGTTGCGGGCTTTGATTCTCAGGGGAAGCCATATATAATGTTGTAGGTGGAAATTATGACTTGTGTGATATTCTAAGAGGTAGTCGTGAACGGCAGCGGAAGCCCGAGATTTTAAGACTTTTTTTACATCGAAGCAGTTACATATCAGAAACGACTAGCTTATACGGGCGAGTTCTATATACACCTCCAGCTTAGGCTATCTACCACCATTCCCTTCGCTATATCTCGGGAAGCTGCCTTCGACAAATGATCAATTAAATTTTGTTATCTACATGATTGACTACTGTTCGAAACATGTAGTGGTATAGGGGCGTGCGATATTAAGCCATTATTACGAGGCGTAGTCGTCTTTATCCTAGTAATACGACACCTCAGACATGTTCCACAACGAGGAAATGTTATCACCTTCCTTGCCGACTCCGTTGCATATATTTGACTTAGAAATATTATAATAATGACTGCTTAGATGACAAGTAGAGTGTTTGATTTGAGGTAAGCTTTCAAAATACGAAACCATAGTAAAATTTGAGAAAGGAGGGTAATATCATCATGCAATAATATTGCTCAATACAAAGATCTATACCACGTTATCTTCCGTTCATCATCTACCAAATGCCCAGGCCTTAAAATAGACTCAGATGGTTAGGTGTAGCCCACCACTTATAGACTCGCAGCACAGTTTGTATCTTCCTGTGGTAAGACTGGTTTGAAAAATATGTTAGCGATGTCTTAAAAAGGGGGTCATTAGCACGTACCTCCAGTTGAGATTAGCTGTAGCGGCGTATTTGCAGCCAGCGACGAATTTACGCATATCTTCTTGGACCTCGGGCATGGCCGAGCAGCGCTGTAGGATCTGTTTCTCTGCGGATTCAAGTTGCTGAACCGATGAATGCACCATGTCTACAGCCTGGTCGATAGCTGCTTGTACGGATCCCAGTTGCAGATATAGCAGAGGAACTAGCGAATCGACTTGCGATTGCTCCTGTTGTGTATTGATGCGTTAGAAATGTAAATGGTCTCAAGCCGGGTAGATTCACTAACCACTTCCTTCTTCAAAGACAATATGTCGTTCGTCCTAAAAGTGTTAATCTATGAAGAAGAAAATTTAGACGGTGAGAATTGTAACCGACATACATGTATATAATAGCATTTGTTTCACGCCAAAGCTGTCGCATAACATCATCATCGAATAGTTCCCGGGGTAATGTTATTCCCCAAGCGTATCTATAAGACTTGTTTAACTTCCTTCCCAGGATTAACGGATGTAAAATGTATATTACTCAATAGTGGCGAGGAAAATCCGCCCAGCGCCTGCGCCCGAACGACACCGGATGTATTCTTCAATAGTAGGAAGGCGGTGAGCTACTTGAAGTCTGTGTTCTTCTCCATACATATGCCCGAGTTTACGAGGGGTTATTATGTTGAATTTTTTCTATGGCCCAAATAAGAAAGTAATTTAATAGGCAGTATTTGGCACGTGCATCATTTTTTAAGCGATTTAATTGGGTGTACGACTTATATATGTAAAGTATGGTTTAACATTTTAGCCGAAATTAATTTTAAAAGTTAAAATGGCTTTAATTAAATATATTATTATAATATATATAAAGTTATAAAAAAAACGTTGTTTTTTTATAAATAAAATAAAATAAAATAAAACGATAAAAAAAATAATATTACGTGATTTAATAATAAATGGTTAAAAGTTATTTAATTAAAATATATTAATAAAATGTTTTTTTATTTTTTATTTATAATATTATATATTTAAAATTTAAATAGTTAAGTTTTTTATATTATTTTTAATATTTAAAATGGTATTTTAAATTTTTTTTAAAATTTTTTATTATTAATATAAATGGGAATATATTAAAATTTAAATATATAAATAATATAAAAATAATTAAAAATTAATATTTTAATTTATAAAATAAACGTTAATTAATTAAATTATTTAATTATTTAAATAAAAAGTTAAAGTATATTTAATATTTTTTATATTAAATAATAATTTATTTTATAAAATAATTTTATTTTTTATTTATTTTATTTTTTTATGTAAAATTTAATATATAATATAAAATTTATATAAAATTGTATTAACGTTAAATATATTATAATATTTAATTATAATAAAATTAATAATGTAATTAAAAAAAGTAAAATTAAAAAAAAATAAGTTTTTAATTAATTTTATTTTTAAATTAAAAATTATTTATTTTAATTTTAAATTATAATATATAATAAATTTAAAAATTATTATTAATAAATTTTATTATTTTATATTATTAAATAAAAGTTATATTATTGTATTTTTTTAAAAATGGTTTAAAATTAGTTTTTTTTTTAAAGGTTTTTTTAAAAAAAATTAAAAAAAGTTATTATAAATATTTAAATATTTAAATTGGTTAATAAATAATATTGTTATTTATAATAATATTTTTTAATTATTTAAATTGGTTTTAAATAATAATAATAATATTTGATTTTTTATAAAATATAAATAAATGTAAATAAATTAATAAGTAAAAAAGTAATAAAGTATTATAATATTATATGTAAATAATTAATATTATTTTAATTAATTATTGTTAATTTAATACGTTATTATTTTAATGTATTAATTTAATATGTTATTTTGTTTTAAACTTTATTTTAATATTTTATTGTTTTTCTTTTATTATTTGTTTATTTTGTATAATAATAATTTATAATATATTAATTTTATAATATTTGTTTATTTTTAAATAATTTTTTTAACTTTTTTTAAAAATTATAATATAAGTTAAAGGTGTTATTTTTTTATTAATTATTTTAATTATGTATATGATTTATTATTAAAGTTTATTTATTATAATAAAGGTATAAATTATAATTTAATTATTTATGTTTATTATATTATAATTAATAATGTTTAATTTATTAAAATAAAAAATAAATTAAAAAATATTATTTGGTAAAACGGTAAAATATTTAATTATGTTTATTTATTAATTTATAAAAAGTTTAATAAAAAAAAGTTATTATTTATTTTAACAATAGTTATTTTATTGGATTATTTTATTTTTTTTATAATATTAAAAAAAACGGTAAATTAATATATTTTTTTCTTTTTTAAATATTAATTAATTATTTAGTATATTATTTATTTATGTTAAATTTTAAATATTAAATATTTTTTTACGATAATATATTTTTTTTTGGAAAAAAATATTTATATTTATTATAAATTTTAATGTAAAATAAAATAATAATTTTTAAAATGCGATATTAAATTGTAATAAAATTTATTGAATAATTTATTTTTTTATTTTTTTAAAATATATTTATATAATTTTTAATTTTAAAAATAATTAATTTAAAGTAAATTATATAAGTAAATATAACGTTTTAAATATTAATTTGTTAATAAATTTGATAATATTTTATAAAATGTATATTATTTATAAAATAATAAAATAAAAATTATTTTATTTTTTAAATAATATAAAAGTATATATTGTTTGGTTAATTATATATTTAAAATATATATTAATAATTATATAAAAATAAAAAAATAATATTATAATGTTAAATGTTAAAAATTATACGGTATTTGTTAAGAATTTTTATTTATTTATTTTGTTTAGTTTATTTTTAATAGAAATATTATTATATTTTATATATTTAAAAAATATTGTTATAAGTTTTTGTTTTTTACGGATATTGTAAAAATTTCCGATGTTTATGTGGAAAATGTTATATTTTTAAGTAAGATTTTTTTGCGTTTGTTTTTTAATTTTAGTTAATTAAATTTAAATTTGTTTTTTAAAAAACGGTTTTTATTTTAAATTTATAAAAATTTTGTTAAATATTATTTTATTAACAATTAAATAATATATTTCGAAAATAATAAAAATAATAAAAATAATAAAAATAGCGAAAATAATAAAAATAGTAAAAATAACGAAAATAATAAAAATAACGAAAATAATAAAAACGATAAAAATAATAAAAACGATAAAAATAATAAGATAATTTATAAAGGTTTTTATAAATATTATTTAATAAATAATTAAATTATATTTTTCGAATATAATAAAAAAAATAAAAATAAAATAACTAATAAAAATCTTTATAAATATTATTTAATAAATAATTAATTTATATTTTTTAACAATAATAATAAAAATATATTGTTTAATGTTATTAATACAAATAATAATAATAAACGTATTAATTAAAAACGTTAATAATTTAAAAGTTTTAATAACGCGTTTATTTTATTCTTTTTATAGTTTTTTATTACCTTTAATAACGGCGGTTAAAATAATAATTTTATATTAAATTTATTGGTTATTAAATTTAAAAAAGAAATAATTTAAAAAATAACGGCGGTTAAAATAATAATATTGTAATAAATTTACCCGTTATAAAATCCGAAAAAAAAGTTAGTTTTTTAAACGATAATAATATTATTAATAATATAATATATTAAATTATAATATGTTATATAAATAATATATAATATTAATATATTTAATATAATGTAATTATTTCTTTAATTTTTATATTTATTAAATTTATTATAATATGTTTAAAAAAGATTTTAATATAATAAAATTACGTTTAAAGTTATATAATAAATATATAAATTATTGTTTAATATATTAAAGGAATTGTGTAAATTTTTAATTATATTACTTTTATTATATTAATAAATTATATTAATTATAATTATTTAATTTAAATATTTATTTTTAATATTAATTGTTTTATTATTTAATTATTTATTAATTATTAAAAAGTTTTAAATATATATATAGTTTATTTTTTATAAATAATATAAATAATTTTTTTATTAAAATATAAAATAGTTTTAAATTATATATGATAAATATTTTAAAATTTAATAAAATAATAATATTTTTATTATATTATTATTTTATTATTTTTGAAAAACTATAAGTTAATTATATTTAATAAAATTTTCATAATTTTAAAGTTAAATTATATTTGGTTAATTTATTTATTACGTATTTATTTAATAATTTATAACGCGTATATACGTAATAATTTATTATTTTAAATTATTTTAATTTTATTTTTTTCTTATTTTTTTAAATACGTAAATATTTAATAAAAATAGTTTTTTTATTTTTAATTTTAATTTTAATTAAATAATAAATTTTTTTTTATTTGCAATTAAATATGGTTTTAAAATTTATGTTAAATATTATTATAATTAATTTTTTTATAATTGATTTTTTTATATTTAAATTATTTATAAAATTTATAAAAAATGTTGTATTAATAATTATATTAAATAAAATATAAAACGAAATAATTATAATTTATTAATAGTTAAAATAAAAAAGTTATTATAAAAATTATTTTTTATTATTATCCATTTTTTATTTTCCGATATAAATTTTAATATGTTTTTTTATTAATAATTGTTAAACCTTTTATCTTTTATTATTATTTAATTTATTATTATTATATTTACCATTTAAATATTACTTAAATAAAGATTTTTGGAAAAATATATTTTTAATTTTTAAAATGGTTAAAGTAAAATATAAAAATATTATTTTTTTATTTTTATTAAAGTTTATATTTATATTAAAAAATTATGTAATTTAAACTTTTTTTAATAAATTAATATATAATTATTTATAATATAATTTTATATTTATTAAATTGTAAAAATAATTTAATGTTTAATAATTATTTAATATTAACGTTATTATGTTATAAATATATAAAATATGTAAATTTTATAATAATAAATATAATAATTATATTAAAGGAAAAGGGTTTTAAAATAATTATATGGTTATATTAATGGGTATAAAGTATGATTTTAAAGGTATATATATTAATTATTATTATAATAATAAAGGTAGTAATTGTTTTTTTTTAATGTAAGTTTAATATTATTTTTTTAACATTAAAAATTAAAGTTTAATATTTATAAGTTTTAAATTAAATAAATAAAATTAATTAAAATTAAATAAATTAAATTAATTAAATTAATATTAAATATTTATTTTAAAGTATATTTTTATAATAAAATTATATTTATTTTATAAGTTAAATTATATATATTTAATTAATAAAAATTTTTAATTTATTAAATTAATAAATTTAAATATTTTTATAAGTTATTATATATATATAAATATATTTTTTAAAAAATAGATATTAAATATTATTTTAATTATTAATAAATTTTATAATTTTATAAAAACGGTATTTTAATTTTATTTATTAATAATTTTTAAATTAAAGTTTTTTTTATTAATAATTAAAGCTTTTTTTATTATAGTTTTAATAAATAATAAGTTTATTATAACGTTATTTTTTATATAATTAATTTTTTGGATTTATTAAATAAACTTTATACGTTTTAAATTTTGTTTTAAAAAATATCGTTTAATAATTTTGCGTTTTTTAAGCGTTTTATTATTTAAATTATTATTATTAAAATTAATTGGAAATATAAAAGTTAAATTAT